TGCACACTGATACACACCTGATACAGAATCTGGCACTTGACAGTCCTCCCAGAGCTTCTTGCTGCTTTTTAGGCTGCTCTACAGCTATTCTGTCCATTCCCCTTCATTCCCCTATGTCTTGCCCCCTTTCTTCACCCATTCCTTTTTCAGGTTTTCTCCTTGCTCTCCTCACTTCCTTCCCCATGCCTTCTGCCTGCAATGGCCCCATGTTCTGCTGCTCTTCTCAGCTGACGATCCTTAAACCACACTTGTCAAAGACATGGGATCAGACCACATACTATCACTGATTTTAAAACAGCCAAAGAAGTACAGTATTACGTATGGATAACAAACTCCTACCTGCTGGAAAACCAATATCAGCTCCTCATCCTGGAGCATAACCATCGCCCCCAGGTTGGGCTGGTGCTGCTTATCTGCCCTGCAGTGCTGCTTGAATGGCACCGGCACCTCCTGGCACAGCCTGCCATCTCCCTGTGTCACCTCTACGTGTCACCTCCTCTCACCTCTGTAGTTCTAACTCCACACATCAAACCCATGTCCCCCCATGTCCTCACACGTCCCTGTGTCCCCATATGCCCTCTCATGTCCCCTCAAGTCCCCCCATGTACTCTGCCCCACTTTGCTCCTTGCTGATGTCACTGTGGGGTTGAGGATAGGGACAGGGATGCCTGTGGGATGCGTGGAGTCCTGGGACGAGTTGATGGCCGTGTGCAGTGGGGTGATGGTGCCCTCGGCGCACAGCTATGACACTGGGGGGGGGTAGTGCCCTGCAAGTGGAGGTCATTGCCCCCAAAATGGGGCTGGTGCCCCACGCACATGGGCAAGTTGTACGGGCAGTGCTTTCTGGAGATGATCTGTCTTTTTTCCAAATCTGCAGCAACTTCAGCAATCCCTCGTCGAGCCGCAGCAGCAATGGGGCACTGCAGCATATCAGCGATCTCTGGCTCGAGGAGCGCAGGGCTGCATGAAGGACGCACTGCAGCCTCCCTGTTTATGTGGGGCTTGGATTGCTGCTGGAGCCCAAAGGCCACATGCTGCCATACAGGCAGTTGCCAGGTTCACCCCCTGAGGACACCAAACCCTCCAGTAACGTCACAGCGACCTTGAATTGCTGTGCGAGGAGATGACGCGCGTTTCTCCCTGGGGAGCCGTAAGCTGAGCCCGGCAGCTGGGCAGCCAGCACTCGCTCCATTGACGCCGCTCATCTCAGTCCTTCTGCTGCACGTGCAGCTTCTCAGCACCTCACTGTATCAGCACTGAAATCTGTGCTCCCCTATCTATTAGAAATGTCACCAATGGCCATTGGGGACAGACTGGAATCAAAATATGTGGGCCATCCTAGCTCGTCCATCAATAAAACTCCCCTTGCCACACAGGCAGACCCAATTGGCTGCTGGTCATTTTTTTTTATTTTTTTTTTCCACTTCATGCCTTTATGGGAACTTTGAGATCACAGCCTGAAGCAGTGATGGAGCACCTCGTGAGGGGTGCAGTCCTGCAAGCACAGGTGGAAGCAACACAGCCGTGGGAGCAGATGGGGCTGAGCCTGGCTCCAGCCCTTCCTCACCTCATCTGAGAGCTGGCAGCCCCACAGGCAGGGTTTCTTCCCAGTGACCCCCCCCTCCTATGGGTTGTTGGGGGGCTCTGATTCTTGGAAAGAGGTAAGCAATTCTTTCTTTATTGTAGGGGTTTGGTCTTTCCCTTTCTGTGGGGATCCTAAGCTGGTTTAGAGTAGCTCTATCTGCTTTGCCTGTCTTTATGGTGCCTTTCAATTGTTTTCGGGGGAAGTGAAGGGGGTATCTCCCTTTCTCTGAACTGGTAATGCAGGGACTGATGCTCATTTCTTTCTTTCGCTCTTATCTCATTTCTGGAATGCACCGATCAGCCCCAAGGTAACGCTGGTTGGCTGACTGAATTGCAACTCTGGAAATGCCTGGAGCTGATGCTCTTTTCTGTAAAGCGATTCTGTGTTCTGCAGATCTTCTTTGCAGCTCTTTTTAAACTCAATACTTCTCCTGAAGTCTCTGCTCCCTCTTTTGTGGGCACGTATTTAAATTATGTTCTGTGTCTCTTTGGATTTCATTCTGTTTTGCAGCTCGATGGGGTTTAAGGGTTTCTGGGGCTCCTCTGGTTAATGGATTAGGCACTGTGAAATCTGTGGAGCGGGCAATGGAGCCCCTCATGAGCCCCCTGTTCATGCATCACTTGTATGCAGGTGGGTTTTGTGATGGCTGTTGGAAGCTCACTTAAAGATGGAGTGGGGGTCACAAGGGGCTCCCTGGGCTCTGTTCTTCCAGCGCAATAAGTGATGTGACTGGTGATAGAGTGCGGTGCATCCATCAGGCTGGGACCTGAGCTTAAGAAGATCTCTGGGCCCCAGTGGCCCTTTTCTTCATCCTCACTTAGTGCAATGCAGGCTCCACTACTCGAGCACACTGAACACAAGCGTTCTGTTCCTGTTTTGTCTGGTTCTCTCCTGAATCCCCCTTATGAATTTGTAACAGATGCCAGGGCATGGAGCTCAGAGCATGCTGTGGCTGACCACCCTGAGATCCTATGTTTTTTTCTGTTTCTTGCAGATCTTGTTTTGTATTTATAGAAAACGTATTCAGAGGAAAGATTTCCCTCTTCTGGACCACTTTGTCCGGATCAGCCCAGATCTCCATCCCAATTGTCAGGGGATGCTCTTAGTTTCCTAATGATACCCAGCGCCCCCCTTTCTTCCACCCCCTGATTCCCGTTAAACATCTAGCTCTGCAGCTATGGGACCCAGCAGTGTGATGAAACAAGGCCTCTGGTCTGCTGAATACTGGGACTGCCATGGACAGGCTCTGTGCTGATGTGGATCTGGTTGGACTGCTTGCTGAGTGTCCCCAGAGCTGCTGAGCACTCAGGCTTCCCTGCCTGCCCTGATTGCTCACCAGGCCATCGACGTCCTTTGTGTTGCCATTCCTCATGGCATCGGCTGTCACACCATAGACTCCTTAGAGTTGGAAGGGATCATTTGTGACAATCTAGTTCGTCTTCCCACAAGGAACAGGGGCATCCACAGCTAGATCAGAGCCCAATCCAAGCTCACCTTGGAAGGGACAGGGCATCCAGCACATCTCTGGGCAACCTGTTCCACTGCCTCATCACCCTTACTGTAAAAGATATTTTCCTTACATCTAACCTAGATTTTCCCTTGTTCTTTCCTTTTGCTCCAATTTAAGTATTGAAAGGCTGTTACCAGGTCATCTCGGAGCCTTCACTTCTCCGTGCTGAACAGCCCCAGCTCTCTCAGCTGTCCTTGGAGGAGAGCTGTTTGATCCCTTGGTTCTTTATTTTTTTTTGTGCCCATCCTCTGAAGTGATCCAACAGGTCCATGTCTCTTTTGCACTGAGGACTCTACATTCTGACACAATCTCCAGATGTGGGATTGTGCAGAATATGGACTCAGATAAGGGAAGCCTCTTTACTTCACAGGTCCTACAGGAGCTGATGAGAACTTCAGAAATGAAGTGGGAGCTCCATACTCCGTGGCACCCTCCTTCTTCAGGGAAAGTAGAATGAATCAATCAGATGCTGAAAAGGCACTTGTCAAAATTGGTTTTAGAGACCAAATTACCATGGACAAAGTGTTTGCCTGTAGCCCTTGTCAGAATATGAACCACTCACAGAAAAGGCTTAGGAGTATCACCATACGAAGTGCTGCTTGGGTTGCTGTACTTGGGAGTGGTGAGATGCCTCTTCTTGAAACCAAGGGTAAGTTTCTTCAGAACTGTGTGCTCGGGTTGTCTGCTGCTCTGTTACCCCTTAAGGAATGTGGGCTGTTGGCTCAAACTACACCTCTGGAATTTCCAGTGCACTCATCCCATGTTGGAGACTGGTCCTAATACACACCTGGAAGGAATCAAGGCTTCAGCCTGACTGGGAAGGACTATTTCAGGTACTGCAGTGGATGTTGTCTACCTTGACTTCAGCAATGTTTTGTTACAGTCTCCCTGTGACATCCTGGTAATGAAGCTGAGAAAGTGTGGTAGATGAGTGGATGATGAGGTGGGCTGAGAACTGGTTTACTGGCTGAGCTCAGTGGTGGTGATCGGCGGCGCAGAGTGCGGCTGGAGAGCTGTGAGCGGCGGTGCTCCCGGGGGTTGGTGCTGGGTCTGGTTGTGAAGGAGAGATTGTGTTTGTGCTGTAGAAGCTTTTAGTATTTTTTGTATGTAGTATTGGCCTTTATTGAACTTACAGCCCTCTTGTGAAGGAGATGTTTGCCTTCCACTAAGAAAGTTGCTGAGCAGAATGAAAAGATAAAGATTTGGGGTGTTCTGAATTGAGCCAGGCACAAAATAAGGCAAATGTGCAGGGTGGAGAGAGAGAGCCCAGCACAGGGCAGAACAAACGTGCTCACTCTTGGTTGGCACACCAAAAGCCTGTGCTGCCATTCAGGCTGGGGAGCTGGGCAGTATCAAACCAGATGAGATGCCACAAAAGCAAGTGTTGAGCCTTGCACCTGGGAAGGAATGGCTGCAAGTATCAGTACAGGCTGGGACGTGACCGGCTGGAGAGGAGCTCTGCAGAGAAGGACCTGGGGGTCCTGGTGGATGACAGGTCGGCCATGAGCCAGCAGTGTGCCCTGCTGGCCAAGAAGACCAATGGGATCCTGGGTGCTTAAAAGGAGCGTGGCCAGCTGAGCAAGGGAGGTGATTTTCCCACTCTGCTCTGCCCTGGTCAGGCCTCACCTGCAGTACTGCATGCAGTTCTGGGCAGAAATGACAGGGATCTCCTGGAGAGAGTCCAACAGAAGGCCAGGAAGGTGATAAAGGGCCTGGAGCATCTCCCCAGTGTGGAAAGGCTGGGGGTCCTGGGTCTGTTCAGCCTTGAGGAAAGAAGACTGAGAGCAGATCTGATTAATGCTTATGTATTTGTTAAGTGTGGGAGTTCAAAGGACATGGCCAACTGGTTGTCAGCGATCTGTGGGGACAGGAGAAGGAGAAATGGCCACAAACTGGAGCACAGGAAGTTCTGCACCAAAATCAAAGGATCCTCTTCACAGCAAGGATGATGGAGCACTGGAACAGGCTGCCCAGGGAGGCTGTGGCTTCTCCTTGTCTGGAGATATTCCAGACCCTCCTGGATGCCCACCTGCGCAGCCTGCTGTAGGGAGCCCGTTTTGCAGGGGGGTTGGACTCAATGATCACTGGGGGTCCCCTGCAACCCCAATTCTGTGGTTCTGTGATTTTAATCCTTGCTTCTTGCAGCGATGCAGTGTTTCAGAAGAGAGAAAAGCACGGCGGGCATCAACTGGATTTCTGTGGTTGGTAAAGCTGTGCTGAGAACTGGGCTGGCTGCTGCCCCTGGAAATGTGTCTGCAGACTTTGCACCCAGAGGAATGACTTTTCCCTGCAGGCTGGGCTTGTCTAAGGTAGGTCACTGCTAGGTGAGCTTCGGCTTTAAAACATCAAGTTGTATAAATAAGGAAACTTCAAAATCAAGATTGCCAATTCTTTTTTACATAGGTGATTTTTTCACAAGGAAAGATTTGAAATGCTGTTTGCTAATGGAAGATGGAGAGAGGAAAATCAAGTGAAAGGCACGCTGTGCACAGCCAGCACGTAGCATCTGCACCGCTCTCCCCCTGCACAAAGGAGGAGCAGCTCAGCAAGCTTGGCCTGGGCCATTGAAGGCAGCACACAGACATCTGGACCAACCCCAGCGGAGCTGCTTCTGCAGGTTGGTTGTCTTCCACTGTGTGTCTGCCATCCTGTCCTCCGGGGTAGGTTTGTTCATGTTCAGTTCATGGATCTGAGGTCTGAGTTTAAGGCTGTGGGCATTGTCCAGGAGTTGGGGTAAGGTATGAGGCAAGGAAAATTACGGTAAGAGGATGAGGTTTAGGACCAGGAACCTCTTCCATCACTATTAGCTCTTCTGTTCTCTTTTTGGCTCAGGAATCCATGTGGGTTTTTTAATGAAGAACAGACTCGTTGTGCAGCTTGTGAGTGAATTCATTCACACCTGTTAATTGGCATTCTTCTCTACGTGGAGCTGCAATTGCAATGGATGCTTGTGGTCTGATGTGCAGCCCCCTCTGATGTGCTCAGATGAGCCAAGTTGGCAATGCCTGGCTCTCGGTTGGTGAGTTGTGCCCAAGGTCAGAGAGGTGACTCTTGTCGGCTTTGAGACACATCTTCCAGTTGCACACTGTGTTCTTCCTGTTGCGTTGAGCTCTTGAGATCCAGCCCTAAGTGAGGATGCAAGCGCTACCGCAGAAGGAACGGGTTGAGATGGGAAGTGCAGTGCAAAGGGCTGGAGCCAGCAGGAGCAGGGATGTGATCATCCCCTGTACTCAGCTCTGGCGAGCCCTCACCTTGAGTGCTGTGCTCAGTTCTGGGTCCCTCACTACATGAAAGACATTGGAACCCTGAAATGTGTCCAGAGAAGAGCAGTGAAGCTGTGAGGGATGTAGAGCACCAGTCTTATGGGGGGGCGGCTGAGGGAACAGGGATTATTTAGTCTGGGGAAGAGGAGGCTCAGGGCAGACCTTATCCCTCTCTACAGATAGCTGAAGAGAGGTCATGTTGAGCTGGGGTCGTCCTCTTCTCTTAAGTAAGTAGTGATAGGACTGGGGGGAACGGCCTCAAGTTGCACGGGGGGAGATTGAGGCTGGATGTTAAGAAACACTTCTCCACAGGAGTGGTCCAATGCTGGAGCGGGCTGCCCAGAGTCGTGCAGGTGTTCAAGAAACATTAGATGTTGTCCTGAGGGATGTGGCTTGGTGGGAAATATTGGTGGTGGGTGGACAGTTGGACTGGATGATCTTGGAGATCTTTTCCATGCTTGCTAATTTTATGTTTCCATGAAAGGCATCTGCTGGGCGAGTGCTTTGGTGGGTGAGCATCAGGCTGCTGGACAGCAGGCAGCTGTTGTCTGTGCAGACAGCCACATCCATGGGGAGTGGAGGCTCTTTGACCTTAACGTTGTCTTGCATGTCTCATGTGCAAAAAGGCATGTTGTTATAAAGCAGCATTGTAGGGGCAACCTTGATTTCCGCAGGCACCAGAGCTCTCCCCCATGCTTCTCCCTGTGGTGTGAGACCATATTGGAGGCCGTGCAGAAGCCTGGGCAGGTGAAGTCCGTTGCTCTTTCTTTCTCCCCCCAATGCTGGGAATAGCAGGGAATGGGACTGGGGGACATCCCAGCAGTGAGTTCCTACCTCAGCAGAACCGAATGGCCGTTCTGGTGCATGTATTTTGAGTGAATCTGACGCCAGTTAGAGAAATGAGGGGCCCGTGAACAAAAAGAATGTGCTGCTTTTTGCAGTGTAAGATGTTCTCTGAGCTTCTGCTAACAGTGCCCAGCATGCTTCCTTTTCGATGGGGAGAGGTTTAGCAAGGATTTTTTTAAATGAAAATAATTAATCCCATATTTACTTTTCATTGATCTTTCTTTCATCTAGTTCTTGAAAAGTTACCTTTGGATTCTACGTTACTATTGATTACTGAAGAGAATACACGTGCAACCTGCGCTTTTCATCTGTGCAAAGAATCTTGTAAACCTCTGTGTGTGTGTTTCTTCTTGGCACTGAGATGAAGCTGTGTGGAACACAGACTTGGATGACTTTTCAATCAGGTGCAGGGACGTGTAATACTCATCTTAGATGTTGTGCTGATAAGAAGAGCAGAGAGGTAAATTTTATAGGGTTGCATGCTATTTTTTTTAATTTTAATTATTTTTCAGTCATAACCATGGAACCACAGAAGTGTTACCCAGACAGAAGGAGCCTTTGTCACCTGGAATTCCTACCAATGACGCAGGCAGTGGAAGTCAGCATCCCAAGCATCCATGAAACCCCTGCACAGCACTGGTGAGAGTTACCCTGGTGCCGTCCTTTGGCAATCTCAGGCCTCTCTGTAAGCTCCCACGCTGTGTCGTAACTCCTCCCGTGGTGCTGACTCAGCTCTCCCAGTCTTTTGTGGGGGAGAGCTGGAGTTGAACTCCTTCCTGCTTCCTGCCTCTGACCTCCCTGCTTTGCCCATGGCCCACTGAGCCTCCATCCTTGTTAGGTGTCTTGAATTACTGAGTTGCTTAAGGATTGGGTGGACCAATTAAATTCTTAGCGATGTCTCTAGATCCACGTGTGCACAAAAGCACACTCTAATGCAGTCAGTGTAATGATGAATACACGCCTTGTTTCCTTTAGCCCGTATTTTTAGTTCAGGAGAACAGATTTCTGGAATGATGTTCAGCTTGGCACCAGAATCCCCTTGCCGCCCCCCATTGCGGTCACTCACTAGGGCTTGAGATCCATAGGGAGGAAGTATTGCCGATAATTACAATCCGTGGTTTTAAAAGTGATTTAATCTATGGTGTATGATATGAATAGTCGTGGTGAATGATGTGGTGAGGCATCTCGGCAATTTTCAACAGGAATACTTCAAGGCAGCTTTTCAAGGTTTCTTTGAGAACTTTCCAAGTCTACAGGAATTTTAAGCGCCAAGGTTTCTTAGCCTTCCGAATGGCAGTGTTTCTATCTAAGCTGGCAGCCTTTAAACCCAAACCCAAAACGAAGCTTGCTCATCTCAGTGGAGGTACCTTAGCTATATTCTAACGCTGCGGGCAAAATGAGTTTCACGTTCACTTGTCCTTTCTGACTCGCTACGTGTTTGATTGCACAGGAAGAAAAGCTTGATGTCTGTGCCAAGGGAGACGTACACCGCACTTGCGCTGCCTGGACGATGTGGAAACTGGAAATTGTGGGGTGTGCTGAAGCATGCCCTCTCAGGTCAGTCTAAGCATACATAGAGTAGACCTGTCGAACAAAACAGGGAATAGACAGTTAAACCCATTCTGTTGGGAAATACTCTCTCTTTCTAAGTACCTTTAGAACGTGAGTTTCTTCAATTAATTACTCAACTCATTTGCTTTTCCTGAATGATCCTAAGTTCTTCTCTCAGGCGACATCTGCACTCTGCTCAGTCCAAGGAGAATCCCTGCCCGCAGATGCAATGACACAGCATGGCTCACCACCTCATTTTTCATTGCTTACTCTTATGGTAGCTGCCATCCATGTCCACCCTGCATATTCTTAGAGCTCTTCTGGAGTCCATGGGGCAGACTTATGGTTGAACTAAAGGGAATTTTTTCATATTGCTCTAGCTCCAGATGATTATCCCTAGTATCATTGTATTAAAAAAAAAAAAAGGCGTTTTGAAGTAGTGCGATATATCTTCTGTGCCTCAGAATGTGGCACGTGTGGCATGAGAGAGTTTTGAGGCCACGAGGACTGCCCAGACAGCATGAGAACTGTAAGAGCAGAGAGCTATAGGTGATGCAGCGCTATTGGTGCCACCCGCAGGAAGCGGTAGCTGGAACAAAATATGGCCAGACGAGTGATCAGATTGCGTTTGGTAAGGAACTATTTCATTAGTTGTAGAACTTTGACAAAATGTATATTCAGGATGATGATCAGCATGCCAGGTGCTGGGACCATGCCGAAAGAGAAATGGTCTGAAAACGTCGGTGCAATTTGCAATATATCCCCTTCCACAAAGCCCTCAGATCCATGCTGCAACTGCATCCAAAGCAACGCAGAGCCCTGTGCTTGTTGTACCCGGAGCTGTCGGTGCCAGGAGTTGCTGCTGTGTTAGCAAGGACGTTGTGTCAGCAGTGTGCCGTCAGTGGGGTTGTTTGATGGCAATGAAACCGCTGAATGGTGTACCTCAAGACTCAGAAAGAAGATGGTAGTGGTGACTGTGTGTCTGGGTATAGATAGCTTGATACAGATCGATAGGACTGCAGTGTGGATTGTACATAGGCCCTGCGCTGCGAGGTACGCTGTTGGGAAGCAATGTCCATCTGCCCGAGGGCAGGAAGGCCCTGCAGAGGGACGGCCTGAGGCCAGCCGTACGAGGCTGCACAGGAGCAAGCGCTGGGTCCTGCGCTGTGGTCATGACAACCGCATGGCAGCTTGTGCAGGATTGGGCTGAGGTAGAATTCCAAGGGCCCACTGATTCTAGAATGTTGGGTGCGGTGTTGGCATCTTCTGGTCGTGTGACATGGTCTTGCCTCCCCACCCTGTCGTCATGGCGGAGCAGCCTGGTGGCCCTTAGTGATGTCACAAGAGGCTGGAATGAGGGGAGGAGCAGTGCGTGCTGCGTCCCTTCATTGGAGCGCTTGAGCTCTGCGTGAGTAGCTCGCTTGTTGCCCTTGTGCAGCGACTGAGTGCCTTCATTTTCAACCCTTGTGTCTTGTGCAGCATCTTGTAGGTAAGCTGAGACAGGGCGTGGGATAGAGGGGTGGGCAGTGAGCTGCTGAAAACTGCTGGCTGGTGGAGCTCCTAGCAGCTCGTACTGCTTACTCTTGTCCATCAGACGTAACTTTCAGCCAGTACCTGCATTCCCAAGCGATCCACAAAGATGGCATTTGTCCCGTGGCTTTTCCCTTGTTGTCTTTGCTACATTGTGCAAGCTCACAGACCTGTTCCTTCTCTCTCCTCTACCCGCTCCCTTGGTGCAGCTTTCGCTCGTGGAAGCACAGAGCAAAGTAACAAGAATCAGCTGCGAGTTCAAGGAATTGTCTACCTTGTTCTGATCTCCTGCCAGGTACGTGCCACGCTTTGTCCCCCCACACGGTTTAGCAGCTCGTGTCGCACCATGTTTGGTAACACAGCCTCACCCAGCGTTGATGGGACACTGGTCCCGTGTGGCTTTTTTCCCTTCCCCTGCAGCTCCGCCCTCAGGAGGATGCTGTGTGTGGTGCTGTGACCAGCTGGTCTGAAGGAAAGCAATCCCTTAGGCAAAGAGTCCTAGGCCCAGTTTGTGCCGAGCTGCACAGCGTGACCCAAGGTCACAAGCACGCACGCTTGGCCTGTGAGAGTGTGCGCGGCAGCTGTAGGGAGCACAGCAGAGATGCGAGCAGAGGAAATCCTTGATGTGCGGGGCTGCAGCAGGTGCCGGTGGTGAGGCTGCTGGGAGCCGGGGCCGGGGAGCAGATGCACCTGCAGCAATGATTCCTCTCACTGCCCTGCTGCTGCGCTGTCAGAGCGCCCTGGGCGAATGCATCTGCTGCTTTGTGCCAGTGCCCATCTGCTAGCAGAGGGCCAGCCGCTTGGTCAAATGCTGCCTAATGGGCTGTCCCATTTGAACGGAGTGAACAGAGTGGTTGCTTCTAGAGCACCCGCCTGTGCCAGAGGATAGCCAAGGGTAGTTCTGAAGAAGTCTCTCAATAGTGTGGTGTGTGAAGAGAGAAAACATGAGCGTGTTTCTCTTCAGTTCCAGCTTGTCGTGCCTGCTGTGATGGGCATCGCGTGCAGCGAGATCAGCTGTGAGCCTGGCATGACACGGATGGAGGTAGAGTGTGGAGCTCTGATTGGTCTTTGTTCCCTGACTTGAGCCAGCAGTGTGAGCTGCAGATGTGCTCTCCTGCTTTTCAAGAGAGCGAATCCTTGCGGCTCTATCGGTGTCACTGAAGTGCTGCCTTCAAGGCTTTCTTTCCTTGCTGCGGGCATGTTCTTAGCCTTGCCGTTCCTTCTTGTGTGCCCATGATAAGGACGGAGTGCACTTCCTGCAGCTTTCTCTGCTGACATGCTCCTCAGCCTGAAATCCTCCTCGTTTGCCCTCAGCTCCTCACCGTGGCCTGTGCTCTCTGTTTCAGGCTGAGAACAACGGGAAGCCCCTGCTGGTCCGTGAGGAGTCATCTCTTAATATCCCAGCTATTGCTGCTGCCCACGTTATTAAGAGATACGTTGCCCAGGCACCGGGTGAACTCTCCTTGGAGGTAAGCAGTTAAGGGCGTTCCTTGTTGTCCTGTACAGAAGAGTATAACGTGTGAAGCTATCAGGAATATTCTCAGACACCTTCCGAATGTTTGGTGAGGTGAAGCCCGGAAGATGCGGTTCCAGATTAGACTTGCACTGGGTTGGATGCAGGGAGGAGTTCAGCCATCTCTAAACTATGGCTCCATTTGGCATTGGAATCTTGTGATCCAAGAGCTACTGCCCAGTGTGGTAGCCTGGTCTCTGAGCAATGGCAGAGCAGTGTATGGAGTGTGCAGATCTGTTCAGGATCTGTTTGGCTGACTTATGCCTGCGGTTTAATTGGAGCTCTCCCTTTGGCAAAGAGCCTGCTGCTTCTGAGAACCATTTCATACTGAACAGCTGAATTCTGTATGTTGTGTATTGGAGTGACTCTTCTACTTGCACATTCAGTTCAGTTCAGTACGACTGCAAATGCCTGAAGAGCTGCACTGGTGCAATGGCTCTCAAGCTTGACGATATTGGGCAGTGCAGAAGAATGCAGTCATTTGAGCTGCGCTTTCCTCCCAGCCGTGCTGAAGCTGGGATTGACGTTGCAATCTCTTGCAGGTGGGAGACCTCGTGTGCGTCATCGAGATGCCGCCTCAGGAGCTGAGCCCCCGCTGGAGAGGCAAGCACGGCTTTCAGGTAGGCCCAAGCTTCAGACGTGAGAGCGCAACTTCGGTCGAGGCAGGAATCTCAGCTTAGAGCTGCCCTGCCTGCACAGCATGGCTCCACATGGAAAATGGTTTCCTTGTGCTGGTGTCAGAGGACTTTCCCTTTTGCTGTGGGCTTGGGCCAGAGCTGAAAGTTGGTCTTTGTAGGAAACTTAGAAAGAAGAGCCCTCACAGCGTGCATCAGGTCACGGCCACTGAACCGCACCTTTGGAAATGCAGCAGCTAGGACACGTGTTTCAGTGTCTCTGAGCTCTTGTGCTTGCACCCATGCAGAAGGTGAAGTCAGTGACTTTTAGGAAGTCGCTGCCTGTCAGCTGAGATGAGGCAGGGTAACAGAGCCTCTGCGCGCTTGCTGCTGCTGCTGCTGGCTGCAGAACGCTGGGTAGCTCAGAGCTGGGGATGGCAGCTGCATCTCAGTCAGCAAGCAGAAAGTTCATAGGCTGTGCTAACTCAGATCTATCTGCATCAATCTATCATAATGTATAACTTCTACATGAAGTCTTTGTGTCCAGGTGCGCTTGGGGTTTAGGGGTGCATAGCATACTTGTCCCCTCCCTGCTTTGTACGCTGCTTTCTGCTAATGTGGAATGCTTGTTACTTTGAAGCAGGGCTTTTTGTGCTGGATAGCCTTCTGGAGCATCCGGCAAGCACGTTCCAAGGAAGAAGTTATGTGGTTTTTGGTTGAAGCGTTCAGGCCTGAGAAACGCTGCATTCAGTAATATACTTCTCTTTTTGCTCTTGTTACAGGTTGGATTTTTCCCTGGTGAGTGTGTGGAACTCATTAACAACAAAATTCCAGAGGCTCTCATCAATTCAGTACCAAAGCCAGGTACGATGATACATTTGATGGTGCAGGGAAGCAAAATGAAGTCCCTTTTTGTGTGTGCTCCATGTTTAAACCTCCCTTATCCATCCCACGTTATCCTCTGTGCTGATGATCCTTCAGGCGTTCCGTGGGGCGTACGGCTGGTGTTTTGTAGGCAGTGAGAATGAGGGAAGGCAAAGGCAGTTCTCCTGCAAGTCAGTACAAGGCTGAGAACAGCCAGCGTCCCTGGTGGACAGATAGAGGTCTGGTTGTGCTAGTGACACGCTTGATCAGAACGTGGCTTTTCAAGAGGATCCTTAATGCCCAGGTTGAGCAAGCTAAGCAAGAGGAGTGCATTAAGCTCCATCAGAACGTGCAGAGATTTGCCCAATCCTCCTGTGTCCTTTATGACTGGATTTGGGAAAATCTTAGAACCCTCATAGAATCCTGGCCTGGGATGGAAGGGAGCACAAGGATCATCAAGCTCCAACCCCCTGCCTAAGGATGGGCTGCCAGTATCCACATTTAATGTGGGACTGGACCAGGCTGCCAAGGCCCCATCCAGTCTGGCCTTGGACTCATCCAGGGTTGGGGAAAATCCATTTTGGTACGCACTTGCTCATCATGTTCTTCCCGTTTTGAGGTGCTCTGTAGAATGTGTTGTGCTCGGCCTCGTCCAACGGAGCCAAACCTGAGATGAACTGGTTTCTTCCTTTTGTTGTGCAGTGCCAAAGAAGCGCGGCAAGCTCCTCACCTTCCTTCGTTCCGTGGTGAAGGCCCGCCCAAAGCAACGGAAAGAGCGGGAGGTGGAGAAGGAGAGGGTGTTTGGCCGTGACCTGGGAGAGCATCTTCTGCACTCTGGGCGTGATGGTAAGGGACAGCCCATTCCTGAGCGCTTCCCTGTCTGGGGACCTAGAGATGAAAGGGAGATTGTATCTAGCAAGGGGCAGGTTGATACCAGTGGAGAAACGGGGAATGGGAGTTGACGACTGAAAGATCACCTGAGTAGGTGATGGCTGCAAGGGAAATGCTCCTAAGGGACCAGCACATTTGTATTTGCTTAAAGCAAAGCCTGTAAGCCAATCCCCTGGTAGCCTGAAAAGAAAGGAAGCCTTTTGGCCAAAGAGAGTGTCCTGCATCAGTTTCCCAGCTCCTTGCGGGCGTGAGATTTTCCACCTCCATTCCCGTGGGAGCTGTGATGGGACTTGCAATGTCTGCGGCTTCCCCGGAATTACTTTCTCCAGGCTGATTCCTAGGTCCTGGCATTTCTTGAGTGCAAAGAACACATCTCTGTCCAGTTTCCTCACCAGCTTCTGCAGAGGTGTCCCTGACAGCTGTCCCCTTCAAGGAAGAACCAAGCAGTAGCCTGGCTGGGCTTAGTGGATGGGATGTGACGGGAGCGCAGCCTGAGGCAGGACTTGACTAAGGAGCTCCAGTAACCGCCGGCACGTGTTCTTTAGTCCCCCAGGTCCTCCAGAGCTGCGCCGAGTTCATCGAGCAGCATGGCGTGGTGCAGGGGATATACCGCCTGTCCGGCGTGGCGTCCAACGTCCAGAGACTGCGGTAAGAGTGCTGCGACTGACAGACACAGCTGCCAGCAGGGGCACGTGCCCTGTTGCGGGCGTTCAGAGGCCTGCGGGCAATGCCTTAGCACAGAGAAAAGGTCTCCTTTGGGAACATCCCATCCAGCACGGCTGACGTGGTGCTGGTGGCCGAGTGTTTGTGTTCTCCTGTACATCAGGAAGCCCTTCCAACTCTTGATTGCATTGGGTGTGGCTTTTGACTTGCTTTCCTCTTTCTCAACCGCTTTCGTGTCCTTCTCTGCAGCCAGGAATTTGAGTGTGAGCAGGTTCCTGAGCTAACCGTCCGCGACGTTCACAGCGCGAGCTCCCTCTGCAAAATGTACTTCAGGGAGCTCCCGACCCCCCTGCTGACCGACCAGCTGTACGACAAGTTCTCGGTAAGCACGAGGCAACGCCTTTCCTTTCCCTCTTCGCTGGGCCTCTTGGGAGATGGCTGCAGCAGGGCCCCGGCTCTGAGGCCCTTCTTCTGTTAGCCCCATGGGGTTTACTCGCATGTCTTTGCCACATCCTGCATCGTGCTGATGCCGCTTCTGGTGGCCCCAGGAGGTGGTTATTTCCATATTCACAATGCTTTGTGAGAATTCCTGTGTTGTTTGTTTGGCTGGTTCGTTTTTGCTATTCCCCAATTCTTTCTGGAACAGGAAGGGGATTAATAGCCAAGTGTACTTGGAGATGAATGCCCCCTGCGAGGAGCTGAGCTGCCCAAGCAGGCTGTAAACCGGCCCGGTGCTTGGACTCCTTGGCCTTGGTGGCACCAGCTGCGTGCCGCTATGTTTGCCAGATGCCTCTGGGGAGGCCTAAAATCTTTCTCAGTGCTGACCAGCAGCGCGCTGTGCCCAGGGTTCCCGACCCTGCGGCAGGTATCTCGCCTGATTTGTGTCTCAATCCCTTTCTGCCCTTTTCCAGGATGCTGTTGGTGCCACTACAGAGGAGGAGCGGCTGGTCAGAATGCGGGACGTCATCCAGCAGCTGCCCGCTCCTCACTACAGGTCAGTGCTGCCCTCAGCCTGCTGAGCTCAGCCCTGCTGCACTTCAGAGGGCAGTGGTGCGATTCCAGGCTTTGTCTCACGCGAGCAACACGATGCCTGGGTGTGGTGAAACCCTGCATGGGGTTAATTTGTGGGGTCAGTTCCTGGGCACAGGGGCACGCTTGGTGCAGCTGATGGCTGTGCTGTGCTGTGCTGGGGCTGGGTGCTGCAGCGTGGCACTTGGTCAAGTTGGGTCTCCTTCATCTTCAGCATCAGTAGCAGTAAGAACAACTAGTGTGAATTGAGGTTTGCTTTGTGAGTGGCAGCACGGCATGCTGGCTGGTGCTGAACATTTGCCGCTCTTGTTTCCCAGGACCCTGGCGTATCTGATGAGACACTTGGCCTGTCTTGCTGCAAACAGCTCTGTCACCAACATGCACGCTAAGAACTTAGCCATTGTGTGGGCTCCAAACCTCCTAAGGTAAACTTCTTTTTCCGTTTCAACAGAACGCTTACATCTGTTCTCCAGTAGAATAAAGCAATCCCCCCTTCTTCTGCACCACATGTGCTCTTCTCCTGTAAAATCTGCAGTGAGTGGCTGACAGCAGAGCAGGAGCCTGGACTGTTCTTCAACCCCACGGGCACAATTTCTAGATGAGCATTGCTGCTCTCTTGTGTAGATGGGACTGGTGTGTCCTTGATCAGCCAGGAGTACTTTTTCAGTGGCATCACTGGTTGCCCACTGCGGAAGTCTCCGGAGCCCAGTTTGACAGCTTTGGGCTGCAACAGTTCAGACCTGGGGAGGCGATCTTGGCTGAATGACTTCTAAAACCTGCCTTTTCTACAGATCACAGCAGAGCGAGTCTGCCTGCGCCAGCGGGAGAGCTGCCTGCACGGAACTGCAGACGCAGTCGGCCGTGGTGGAATTCATCATCGACCACACAGACGTCCTCTTCTGCTCCACATCCGGATCGGACATTGCAGATGGAGCAGGTGAGTGTCTTCCTCCATTAGCTTTATCTTGATCAAACACCTGGATCAAATGCAGGCCTTCTCCAAGTCCTTTGAAATACACTTTTACTATCAAAGGGACAGCAGACTTCTGGGCTTCGGTTAGAATCTGGCACCCTATTGCTGGATGCTGAGAATGTGCAAGCCCAAATGTGACAAGGAGAAATCTGTCACCGTCATTATGATGTTTTGCAAGCAGGTGAAGCTTGATTAACGTGTGGCAGCGGAGCTTTCTCAGTTCCCTGCCCCCATTTTCTAGGGATTTTGTTTGCCTGTTTCGATACAGGGAGCTGCTCTTAATGATGACTGCGTCCTTTGCCATAGACACACCTCTGAGCACATGGTTGTTTTGAGCTGCTCTTCTTCCAGTGGCTCGGTTAAGCAAGTCTGAGGAAAACACAGCAGCTCCCCCGGACCTGGGATGGCTGTGCTGCCGCTTTCTCATCCTGGCTCTCACCTGTGGTTTTCCCTTCCAGGGCACAGTTCTCTCTCAGGGCCCCAGTCTGTGCAGGCGTCTTCTCCTGCCACAGAGCTGCTCAGCCTGGAGGAGGCGCAGGCACGGAGGCGAGGCCACAGCAGCTCTCCTGTCGTTGTGACACAGAGCAGTGACATAGAGGTGGAGGAAGGCCCCGCAACTTTACCGGGCAAATTCCACACTATCATTGACTTTCCATCTGAAAGGTAAAGAGGAGTTCCTTTTCCAGCACCTATCATCATTGTTTGGGTGGGTTTTTGTTGTTTGTTTTTGCTTTTTTTCCATTATTTCTAGTGCCAAAGCTTGCTGAGACCAAATTAAAGTGACGGTGCCTGAAGTGTTGCAGTGAATCTCCCCTCCCTTTGGACTGTGAGATTCAACTAACATTGAGTTGCCCGCCGGGCTCAGTTTAGCCTCACAACGGTGCCGTTCCTTCCTTGCTGGGCAGGCAGTGACGAGATGCACAAAGCCACGCTGACGTCTACCCTGGCCTGTGCTGGCTGTACCTGGAAACGTTGGGGTTTTCCGGACTTCAGGGTCACATGCCTGAAACCAGTTCCGGTTCTCCTCGAAGCAGAGCTCTTGGTCAGACTTGCTGGCACTAGAAACTAGACATGGCAGTGAAATGGGCTGATGAGCTGTCAGTGTCAGAGTCAGAGATGCTTCTGAAGTTCCCTTATGGCTGTGCAATTCCTCAGCCAGCAGTTACGCCTGCCAGCTCAATCAAAGCCACCCTTTGATGCTGTCCTGTACAGGTGTGGAGCCTGTGGACCTCACATGCTCTGCATCTTGCTTGGCACAGTTGAGGGGAATATAGCCAGCAAGACTTCAGGGCTGAGCTATAGGAATGGAACCATCCTCAACTGCTTGAAACGGAGCGAGTTTCTAAGCTGTGTTTCAGCAGGAACCAGGCGGTGCTAGGAACAAGCAACTGTTGGCACGAGCTCAGTGCAGCTCTTCCCTCACCCTGCACCACGCACGGCTCACACCATTCCCTGTTTCCTCTCTCCAGACCAAGTCCACCCAGCAGGATAAAGGAATCACCAGCTGGCTGTTGGTGTTCCTGCTTCAGCCTGGGAAAACCATCTTCTGGGGCCAAACACCAGCTGCAGTGCAATGCCAGGGAGCCTGCAGAAACAGACATTGTAGTACTGGCAGGTAAGGGTGCAAATTCTGCTTCCAATACTCTGCTTCTCAGCAACGTAGAATTCTTGCTGTCAGTGGGCTTGTATCTCCTTCTAGCTATCCAGCCCATACCTGACACCTTCAGTTCTCCCTTGATCAAGAACCACTTTCGTAATTCAGCTTGTGAGTTTGACACCAACCCCTGTTCATTCTTTTATAGGTGATTCGTGCTCTTGTCAACCAAGCAGAGCCAGAGCATGTAGTGATGCTGGGCTGTGTGCTTCCACCAATGGAAAGCTGTTAGGAAGCACAAATGGCTGCGGTTCAGATGACAGCCTTCCGCATAACAACAGTGATGGACACGAGGAGCTCATCCAAGTTGAAGCCCTCATTTCTCCCGGCTGTGCTGAAGATGCTGACCTGAGCCTGCCAGACACCACAGGCACCAGCCTGGACTGTGACCCGGTGCCTCTGCAGTGCAGCCCAGCCCAAGCAGAGCCCGAGTGCCCCGACAGCAGCACCTCTGTGCAGGAGCAGGTCAGCATCAGTGAGGAGAAGCAGAGCCTCTTGGAGGGGGACTTGGAATCCAGCCTCCAGTCCCAGGCACCGGACATCAACACCGACAGCTCTGAGCCACTCTGTCCATGAGCTTTCCACCCAAAAGAGGACGATTCCCATCTTTACCTGGACCTCTCACGCCCTCCTGTCTTTTCCTTTACTAATAAAAGCACACTTATACTCACTCAACACCTTGACTGCCTGTGGAGTCTTCATTCACGGGGACTGGGATGAATGCAACACACAGCAAAGCACCTCAGCTTGCAACGCTGAGGCTGTGGGGTGCATGAAGCCCAGCTTCCTGGCGGTGGCTTTGTGATGCCTTTCAGGGCTTTTTGATGCACTGTGATGCCTTGGCTGCTCCCTAACACCTCTCTCCTCCGGCCGCGTCCATTCCTGGCTCCCAACCTCCCAGCTGCCTGCACAGATCATCTGCAGACCTGTCATCATCATGCTGTGGCAGGACGAGCTCACCCTGACCAGCATAGTGCTGTTCTGCTTGGTCTGCATCTCAGTGGCTCTTGCAGAAGAATCATACTGCAGAATCTTTTGCTCACCCTGCAGCACCCAAGTGCTACAAAATCAGAAACAGCTTGGGAAGCTCTGGGTCTGCAAGACTGCATGGACATCCACTGACTGCTTGATGGTTCCCTCCCATCCTTGATTTTCTTCTCTCCTTCTCCTCATCTGATCCCACTGATGAGCTATGAACAAGCTGCCCAGTGTTGCAGAGCATCACACAGAGCCGTGCTGGGTCACCTCCCCTTCCCCTCCTGCGGCTCAGCGTGCAACCTCACCCACTTCCTGACCCCACATCCGCTGATTCCACGCATGCCTTCAGGATGCTATGGCACAGATGTGCCTCTAACCCAAATCTCCTTCCCACCCTCCCAAGAAAAAGCAAACCAACTGCACTGTCACTAGCACTGTCCTGCAGCAGACAGCAGGGAATGCAAACAGCTTCACGCTGCTCCCCTTCACTCCCATCGTAACTGTGAGCACATGGATAGGCAGAAGGATGGGGTTGCAGGTTAACCTCTGCTGAGGTGAGTGAAGGCTCATCGTGTGGCTCTGTGGTAGATTTGTTCCTGTTCAGTGCTAACAGGAAACTCACACAACACTGAAGGTCTTGCAAAAGTCTGGCAAGTGATGTCAGTTGCTCTTCCTTTTCCCACTGATGCTGTTACTCCATTGTGGAAGGCCACCAAATTGACCAGGCTGCATGTCTCAGTTTCTGCATTTCCTCCTTGTTGCCATATTTTCCCCAAAGCAAAAGAACTTGGAGGTAACCACCTACAGTTATGTGAGAGATTTCAGCATCTATTTCTGATTGTGGCAATAACTTCAGAGGTCACAGTTAATTTACGTTGCCTGTTTTAATTCTGACCAAGGTTGTAGTTGCATCTGACTTCCCAAGGCTGCAATACATGGTGGTGACACAGCCTTGGGCTTCTGCATTTGTGCTAATCCCACGTTCCCTATCTCTGCCTCGCAGGTCAGCTTATGCTGGAAGCAGATAGTATCCCAGAATGAATGAAGGTCAGTGCAGGAGCAGATGCTGATGGGAGGAAGAAAGTCCATGCTAATCAGCTCTGAAGCATCTGCAGGTATGGTACTGGAGGAGGCAACGATGATGTTGGATGGCTTCCCAGCAGGAAGCTGTCTCATCCAAATACTTGCTGAGTGTTTGGAAGCCCAAAGCTTTCCAGTCTCCAAGCTGAAGGCAGCCCAGAAGCAACATCGCCTTGGTCTGATTGTGTGGTGCCGGTACAGGAGGGTGATCTGAGCTGGATGCAGAAGAGTCGTCTTAATTTATCTGTTATTTTACTTCAGATCACCCCATTGGGTGAACATTCCGTTGGTTTCTTAAAATTTGGATCTAGGAGGTGACCCCTCCCTTTGCTTATGATGAAAGCACAGAAGTGCTGAGGGCACTCACCAATTTTGCAATCATTGCTGGGGGGGAGCATTTGTCCCACAGCTGGTGAGCAGAGCTGGTGCTCTGGTGAGCATGATGCATGTGGAAGCAGAGCTTTGGGCCTCGTTGGAACAGATCACCCTGTGAGAGACCGTCAGAAGCACTGCTGCGGCGTGTGCGTGAGCTGGGCACAGCTCAGGCTGACCAGAACATACAGGTGAGCTGGGTTTGGTGCTGGGAAGAGAATTCAATGCCTTAGGTGTATCTTAGTGAGAAATGTTGGCATTAGCTGTCAAAAATCTTTTCTCCTCAACTGCAAAAGGACAGCGCAACTCAGACTCCTTTACCTGCTGGAGCAGGGCGGTAGCAAAAAGTGGGCAAGCTCCTGCAAGCTGTGCTTGGTTATGGTCTGCCAGGTCCCTACTGCCTTAGATTTCTTATGAGAAGTTTGTTCTAGCTGCTTGGAGTAGTGAAAGGTGGGGAAGAAGTGGTGATCAAGAGCAAAGACTGCATGGTAATTCTGGATGGATTTAACTGTGGTATCTGAAGACACTGTTTCTGTCAGAATTATCCCAGCACTGTGCAGGTGTCTCAGCTGAACCCCCTGAGCTGATGTCTGAGAGCAGCTGCCTCCTCCAGCTGAGCCATAGGAAAACTAACTGTGCCCAGTAATTATAATTTTTGCAGATGTTGTGAATGTGCTCCCAAATGTTTCCTTTAGCGATAAGTAATGTCTCAGCACTCTGATATCCCATTTCTGGCACAGCTTGGAACCTCTCTGCAAACCTTGGCTGCCCGTTCCCACCAACATTTCTTCCTTTCTCTCTTTAGAAGCACTGTGGTGCAGCTCCCTGTGTTTGTGAGCAGCAGCCAGCGGGCTGCCGGAGACCCAACAGCGCCTTTCAGCACACAGAGGAACGCGATGGGGACGGACCGTCCTTACTGCAGAAGGGAGTTTCTGCAGTTCTCTGTCATGAAGAAAGAATAAATTTTGAATGTTAATTCTGAGCAGATGCAGTGCTGTAGGGGATGTCAAGTAACCATTCCTTTTGGGGTGCAGGAAGGAGCAGTGAGAAGTGACATATTGGTTTGTGTTTCGGCTGTCAAAGAGGAGTTATGTTTTTGGGAGCAGAAATATGGGCTAAGATGGAAAACGGCAGTCTCTGCTCTTACTCAGCCAACAGCAGTTCTCAATGGGAATTCTGAGAACAATAGGCTAAGCAATCATCTCCAGCCATCATCTTCTTCCATTAGGAGGAAGTTTTTCACACAGAGGGTGGTGAGGCACTGGAACAGGTTGCCCAAGGAGGCTGTGGATGCCCCATCCCTGCAGGCATTCAAGGCCAGGCTGGATGTGGCTCTGGACAGCCTGGGCTGCTGGTTGGTGACCCTGCACATTGCAGGAGGTTGGAACAAGATGAGCATTGTGCTCCTTTGCAACCTAGACCTTCTAGGATTCTGTGATCTCTCATTTCTGTGTGGTGGCCATTGTTTGTTTGGCAGTAATGATAAACAGAGGTTAATGGTTTTGTTTTGGTTGGTGGTGGTTGCTGTGGGTAATGACAAAGCAAGTGTCACTATGTAGACTTTGAGAGGCAAAAAATGTGTCTTTTGCAGGAGATAGCATTTTGTTTGCTGATGCACTTTTGCTCGGCAGAATTTAGAGCTGTCAAGCAGATTGAGGTTCACCTGCCATCTGAGTGGGAACAAGACTGGTAATGTTTTTTGTAAGCGCATTGCAGTTTAAACATCAGTTTCTGTTCTGGCTGTAGAACAGTGCCCTTTGTTTTTCGGGGGGTGGACATGGGCTAACAGGACAATGCTGTTCCTGGTGTCTATGAAATCAACACACAGTCTGTTGTTGCAGGGATGGACCCTGAGCATTCACGGGATGGTGCAGGGTGTGGGGGAAAATGGAAAGTCTGCCCAGGTAAGAAGCTCTTGTGAGCTGTGGTGTAGGTACTGCCTCTAAACAGGGCTGCATGAAGGCCTGTGTGTGATGGAGGAGAGGGGAAAGGGCGCTGGAGTTCTGTGCTGACTGCAGAAATGGCACAACACTCTAGCAGCAGAAAAGCAAATTGAAGAAACTACTCTTGAAGACCAGAAGTTTGTCATTGACTGTGCTAAAATCTTCCTGAGGAGATGCTCTTCAAGTATTTTTTGTTTCCTTTCTGTCAGAAGCTGATGCAAAAGCAGTCTTCCCTTGAAGTGCAGGGGAGGAGCACAGAGTGTGGCACAGCATCAAAGATAGGCTTTCTGTCCTTCCCTGGGACTGTTGTGTTTTGCTTCAGGTCTCAACCCCTGGGATTTACAGTTACCTTTCCTGTCCTGATTTGAAATGTGAACCCACAGTTCACCCAAGATCCTAAGATCCGTTACCATGAACACAGCGATTTCCTAGTACTGTGGCCCATTTTGCAGTCTGAAAGTAGTTTTGAACTCTTCGAATCTGATTATAGCAGAGAGAGGTTCTGAGCCAAATGGCAAGATCTAAAAGATCTAATTGATCTAAAATCCAATTGGCGACTCTGCACATAGCAGGGGGGTTGAAACTTGATGATCACTGTGGTCCCTTTCAACCCAAGCCATTCTATGATCTACATGAAAGCAGTGAAAGAAGTCTGTTCTGAGGGAGCTCCTCTCCAGGCTGGAGTGCATCCTGGAATAGCAGGTCCCAGCTCAGGGAAAGACCTTTCCCTGCAGTTAACATCCACTCTTTCTCCAAGACGCCGGCTGGAAGAAAGTGCAAGGACTTGGAAGAAGAGAAACAAAAAGCAGAGCTGTGGCCTGCAAGAAACAAGTGAAGGTAGAGTGCAGAGGGGAGAATGCTCAGAGGATGCAGCAGAGCACAGATGGTGTGCCAGCTGCAGCGGTACACCCTGGGCCTGATCCAGCGCCACGTAAGCAGTTATGGACCTCAAAGTTAAGAGGAAAGAAGGTGCTGTGGTACCTGCCCTGGTGAGCTGCTACTCTTATCAATCACATTGAGTTTGCTTAGGGTTTGCTTAGCATTTTCCTTCTCTGTAGAGCGGAAAAGAGTTGAAGGCTACAAAGTTCAAAGCAAGAATGTGTAAGCCCATCTTTTCCCATTAACTACATACTGGTCTTCTGTATGCCCCACTGGAAATATTCCCTGAGAGGCTTCCTAGCCAAATTTCCTTTTTTTTTTGCTATCTGCTTCTGTGGTACCCATGTTTCTGCAATTTTGCTGTTGACAAAATGAATTTATCTTTGTACTTGCTTTATAGCAAGAAAAAAAGACAAAAAGAGAGGATAGCAGAAATGAAGAAGGCTTCTCTGAGAGCTGCTGCTGAACGTGCAAAGGTGAGTCCTTGGTGGTTACAGGGCAGCACTGCAAGTGCCACTCAACTCGGCACTCCAAGTCTCATTGCAGTCAATAAACAATCACAATTACAGACTTGCAAAGAGTGCATGGCCTGATTTGTCCAGCAGCACTCAGAAGCTGCTGCACCACCTCCTCGTTATTCGTCTCGTGGTGCTGGGTCAGAGCTCCCATAGCTCAATTTGTGAATGCTGCAGTCAAAGCAATGGCTGCACCAATCCTCTGCACTGCCCACAAGTGCACTGTCTGCAAAGCATGTGCAAGGAATTACGAGTAGCACAGCCTGGCCCCAGGCATGCTGAGGTAGAGAACAACTTTATAGAGATTTCTGAGTTTTCCCCAGGGCAGCACTCAGCATAACTGCACGCGTGCACCTCTCTCCTGGCTGGTATCTCTGCTGGGGGAAGAGAGGCTCTGCCTGCTGACTGATCCCAGAAGGATCAGGTCTTCTGACCTCCCTCCAGTGGTTGCTTCCCTCATCTTCCCCCCTCTCTTTAGCTGTTTTTATACTACTTTTTACCCTCCATGCAGAGCTTGAGTGCCTTTCATCATTGCATACCTTTGTTCTGGGTGTAAAATTCTCTTGCTTTGTTTTTAAAAGCCTACGCTAAAAACTCCAGATGCATATGCTCACTGAAGGGTTGTAGCACCATGGAAGTGGATAACTTTTGGCCTGGAGGTGTTTTCTAGTTTTATAATGAGTGTTTTTAGTTTTATAATGAGCAAATACAGTTTCAAAGTGTAAGACAAAATGAAGAAGAAAGCTCTAAAGCAGGCAGTTGGGATGCTGGCATGATGATGTTACAAATGTCGTCAGTGCCATTATGATATTATAATTGATTTATGAAATTTACAGAATCACAGAATCACAGAATCACCCGGGTTGGAAGGGACCTCAAGGATCATGTAGTTCCAATCCCCCTGCCCAGCAGGGCCACCAAACATCCACATTCAGATCAGGTTGCCCAGGACCCCATCCAACCTGGCTTTGAACACGGCCAAGGACGGAGCATCCACAACCTCCCTGGGCAGCCCGTTCCAGGGCCTAACCACTCTCTTTGTGAAGAACTTCCCCCTAACATCCAACCTAAATCTTCCCTCCTTCAACTTTGATCCATTTCCCCTCGTCCTGCTGTTGTCAGCCCTTCTGAAGAGTTTACTCCCCTCCTGGCTGTAGGTTCCCTTCAGGTATTGATAGGCTGCACTGAGGTCACCCCGCAGCTTCTCTTCTCCAGGCTGAACAAGCCCAGCTCCCTCAGCCTGTCCTCATAGGGGAGGTGCTGCAGCCCCCTGATCATCTTAGTCGCCCTCCTCTGGACCCTTTCCAAGATCTCTCTGTCTTTCTTGTACTGAGGGCTCCACACCTGGACACAGGACTCCAGATGGGGCCTCACAAGAGCCGAGTAGAGAGGGACAATCACCTCCCTGTCCCTGCTGACCACCCCTCTCCTGATGGAGCCCAGGATCCCATTTACCTTTCGAGCTGCCAGAGCGCACTGCTGGCTCATGTTCAGTCTCTCGTCCATCAGGACCCCCAGGTCCTTCTCTGCCGAGCTGCTCTCAAGGCCCACTCCTCCCAGCCTGTACGGGTGCCTGGGGTTCTTCCGGCCCAAATGCAAAACCTTGCACTTTGCCGTGTTGAACCTCATTAGGTTCACCCGAGCCCAGCCCTCCAGCCTGTCGAGGTCCCTCTGAATGGCATCCCTTCCTTCCACCCTATCAACCGCACCACTCAGCTTGGTGTCGTCAGCAAATTGCTGAGGGTGCACTCAATTCCCTCATCGATGTCATTAATAAAGATGTTAAAGAGCACCGGTCCCAAGACAGACCCTTGGGGGACACCACTTGTTACCGGCCTCCACCTGGACATAGAGCCATTGACCACCACCCTCTGTCTGCGGCCTTTCAACCAATTGCTCATCCATCGGGTCGTCCACCCATCAAATCCACTTCCCTCCAATTTGGAGATGAGGATGTGGTGGGGGACCATGTCAAAGGCCTTGCTCAGGTCCAGGTAAATGACATCGGTCGCCTTCCCTTCATCCACCAATGCCATCACTCCATCATAGAAGGCCACAAGATTAGTCAGGCATGACCTTCCTTTGGTGAGGCTGTGCTGGCTTCTCAGTCTCGTGCTCGCTTCTCGGCCTTTTGGCTAAGATCAAGTGTAGTATCATGTGTAGTGTAGCAAATTTATTCCACCATTTCTGCTGCCGTCATCTGGCCAATATGCGGAACGGCAACGAAATTTATTCCGTGGTCTCTGATGCCCCCTCACGTGGCCAATATGCGAAACTGCAATAAGTTTTTTCTCTGGTGTCCCCGCGTAACCAATCTGTGCCCAACAACGAGCATGCAAAAACAGATGTGAATTTTGCACCAACAAGAGTCCAGTGGGGACTTGCTGCTTGCGTACTGCGGTGAGGAAACTGACGCATGCGCATTGCCATGTCCAGGAAGGCGCATGCGTATTACCGCGCTGCAGCTGGCACATGCGTGCTGCATGGCAGAAACCAGCATGTATATATATAGCGCGTTACAGAGCCCGGATTTGCTCATATGTATTGCTTTCCCAACACATGCTCGTGTCAGTGCTGCTGCACACCTGTAACGCAATTGAGAATCTCCGAGACACTGCGAGCTGCTCCGCCGCTGCGAGTCGCTCCAAGCAGGAATGGGGCACTGCAGTACATCAGCGACCTCTGACTCAAGGACTGCAGGGGCTGCAGGAAGGACACACACTGCAGCCTCCCTGTTTCTGTGGGGTTTGGGATTCGGTGCAAAAAGCAAATCCTTGGCTTTGCTGCACACATCTGTCAGATTGACACTGAGTTTTTCATCACCTCTGATGACGCTGGTTGAAAACAAACTAGAATAAAAAGCACGACAACATCAATTTTCTAGTGATTATTTATTATTTATTTATTGACAGATATTCATAAGCACTGAGTGCAGGTTTGCTGGCTTTGTCGAAGTTTTCCTCGTTTTCTTCGTCGTCTCCCTTACCCCCAATTTCTTTTCTGTGTTTTCACACATTGGAATTTCATTCCGCGGTCCCTGCTGCCCCCTCGTATGGCCAATATGCAGAACTGCAACGAAATTTATTCCCAGGTCTCTGGTGCCCCCTGGGAAGAAATTAGGGGCAACACAAGGGGGCACCAGAGACTGCGTAGTAAATTTCATGCGTAAATTTCATGCTGTGCCAATGTGCCACCATTAAACCCAGCAGAGCTGTGCAATGTGCCACCATTAAACGCAGCAGAGCTGTGCAATGTGCCACCATTAAACCCAGCAGAGCTGTGCCAATGTGCCACCATTAAACCCAGCAGAGCTGTGCCAATGTGCCACCATTAAACGCAGCAGAGCTGTGCCAATGTGCCATCATTAAACCCAGCAATGTGCCACCATTAAACCACAAAGTGTCAGCAGTCCCAGCAGTGCCTGTCTCCAGTCCTGCCCCTTTCGAGTCCCTCTCCTGCCTCTGATGTTGTCCTGACCAGGCCCTGTTCTGCCCCCATTCCGTTTAGCCCATTCCTGTTCTTGTCTTGATCCTCCACCTCACCTTGCCTGTGTTCCTGTCCCTACCCCGACCCTACCACTACCTTCACACCTACTCTCAGCCTTTTCTTTATCCTGTCACTGCCCGTCCCCCTCTTTTCCCTCTCCTGCCCATCTCTCCTGCCCCGTCCCTATCACTCGTCCTGCCCCTACCCCTACACTTTTCCCTATTGCCCGCCCCTCTCCCTCTCCTGTTTCCTTCCCTTCCCTATCCCTGTGCTGTCCTTGCTCCAGGCTGACAACAGAATCCCCTGGCAGCCCACCACAAAGTTGAAGGGAAATTGTAAGCCAGGAGAACAGAAGTGTGATGAATGAGAGGGGAGGACAGAGAGGGCAGAAGAGAAGAAAGGATACAGGTAAGAGGAGCAGAGCCAATGGGGCAAGGGAAAGCAGGAGATGGCAGGGGAGAATGGACAAGAGGGAAGAGCAGAAAGGCAGTGAAAATAGGATTTCTTGAAAAGAAGTGTTTACAGCTTTATTACAAGACAGGATGCCTCACAATAAGATGGATGGTTTTCCAACTCCTGAATTACAGAGGATACATAAACAGAGAGGGGTTAAGAAACCTAGCAAGAAAGTGCCAAATTCTAAAGCAAAAGACCCAGGAACAATTCCAGCTGCTGCACTCCCTTGAGCGCCTCAATGGGACTCTCATCTGCTCACAGGGCCCAACGCGAGAGGATCAGCTGCTCTGAGGGAGCTCCAAATATTTTGGAAAAATGGATCCTCGCAAACTGTAAGAGCCCTAAATGACCCCGGAGCAGAGGCCTCCTTAACATATGGGAACCTCAAGAAACATGAAGGACATCTGGTAATTATTATAGGGTTGGGAGGGAAACAACCTGAAGCTGTACAAACACAAATAGAAATGAGAATAGGAAACCTCCCACAACGACTGCATCCTGTGATGACTGTCCCCACCCCAGAATACATCACAGGGATGGGCATTCTAAAATGACTAACACTGAATCTCCCCAGCGCTCAGCCCCAATTTGGAATAAGGAATTGCATTCGTGCTCCAACAATTTCAGTGGGAAAAGTAACAATGCCTGCTGTGCAGATTCCTGCTGCAACTGAAGTAGTGACAATGAAACAGTACAGGACCTGGGGGGAGGGGGAGCATGAAGAGATATCAAGGACAATTAATGATTTAATGGGTGCAGGAGTTTTGAAGTCAACTACTACAGCTCGGAACAATCCAACATGGCCTGTCAAATAGCGGTGGGTTTGGGAGGAATTAAACAAGCTCACCCCGCCTCTCACAGCAGCTGCAGCAGGTAGTGTTGCTTTAACAGCAGAAGCTCAGAACCATTCCAGAGCAGGGCATGCTGTAATTGATTTAGCTAACACTAGCTTCTTCACGATCCCGACTGCGGAGGAACGCCTTCCCATGGCAGAGGTGACAAGATCCTGTCTGTAGATGGCCTCAGGGACGGCTGCACAGCCCAACCATCTGCCACAGAACTGTGGCTGAACATCTGCATGACACCAAACTGCCTCCTCACATGCAAACAGTTCATTACGTAGATGACGTCCTGACTCAGGGAAACTGAGGAAGAGGTGCAACAAATGCTGGAATTGGTTGTGGATCAGATGAAACAGAAAGGCTGGGAAATTCATCCTACTGAAATTCAAACAGTGACATTTTTAGGAACTCAGAGGCATTTGGGGCATTGGGGAATACTACCCAAAACCCGACACAACATTCTAGACTTTGCAGTACCCTAAAATATGAATGAGGCACAGCAGTGTATTGGGCTGTTTGGTTTTTTATGTTCCATACCTAGGACAAATTTTAACCCCATATATATACAAAGTGACAAGGAAGAGTTGGAGAGGGAAACGAACAGCAGGTTGCCTTTGAATTAGCAACAAAGGCTCTTCAAAGGGCCTCAGACTTAGGGCCCATGCAAAAAGCAGAAACAGAGTTAAACGTGTCTGCAAATGGGGCACGTGCCAATTGGAGCTTCTGGCAAAAACAGGGAAAGAAAAAGGTTCCCTTGGGTTTTGGAGGAAGAAAACTCACGTCATGAGAGGAGTAATGGATGCAGATTATTAAGGATAAATCAAATTCTGTTCAGCAATGGTGAACAAGATTTAATTATTCAACCCATGACAGAACAATTACTGATATTGCCAGTTTTAAAAACAGTTGTGAGAAAAGGAGATCCACCTCAGATCACCACCGCTCTGGAGAACTACGTACGTAGTACGTAATTTTATTTTGCAGATCCTGCACGACTGGATTTACCCGCCTACCAGCACGGTCCATTTGGAAAAAGATACCATCTGTGTGCCTGGATATGAAGAACGGCCTCACCTGAAATTATCCCCAGTGCCTCCTGTCAGAGCTGGTGACCTGAGAGCAGTGATGGCATTGCTAACGGCACGCTGCCACTGTGACCAAGGCACAGGTTGGATGAACAGATTGATAACTTTAGGACAAGGTTGAACAACTTTGCTCCTTCTTGCTAACTGCCATGTGTGTGGAGGCCCAGGAGGATGGGAACACTGGACGTGGATGGCCTGTGCAACCCAAATGGTGGGACAGCAAAACGAGTGCAGCCCATGAGGGAACAGAGCTCTGGGCCAGGACAGCAATCCCCGCCAGATGCAGCAATACAGAGAAATGATCAGAGAAACGGGGAAAAATACACAGAAATTGAAACACGTCCAGATTACTTCACGTGTCCCACACCTGTGGTGACTCAAAGACCACACCTGCCACGTCTCCCACAGCGAGGTATGTCCATATCAGAATTAAGTTTTGATACGAGATTTATGACTTACGAATATTAACGCCATCTTCACAGTTTGAAGGAAAGGCCTGAGCTGCTGGAGGCTCTGCTCAGCTACATTTCTGCCCATCGAGTGCAGTTTGAGTGTAGATTTCATACACAGCAAGGTGTGAAGAAAAGCTCCCCCTCCGGTCCTAGAGATAAAGAAAGTTCAAGCAGTAAATATCAAGCTACAACAAAGCCCAAGCTTCTGATTTAAGGACATCCTCTGAAGTCTAATTTAAGGCAGTAAAATTCACCTTCTTGCCTCAGGTTAATATCTCCAAGCTATTTTCAAAGATCTTTTCATACCTCCTGATATGTTTGCATACAGCTAGTAGAACAAACAGAGCCAATAAAGAGACCCAAACACATACAGTGAAGGCATAAAGTCCAGCATGGCGAAGATCAGAAATGAGGCAGGAGAAGCCTGACAGATTGAGAGCAATTAAGTGTCTGAATAAAGAAAGGAACAGAAGGAACAGACATTGCTGGAGTCTATCAGACGCCAATCTTCATTTGAAAAACATCCTGTACATGTAGAACAAAAAGCAACACAGGATCAACCCACAACTATTTGTTCCACTATCTCAGTGATGATTGCTATTATACAAACTACACATTTTTAATACTGCTGTTTAAAAGAAAAAACAACACAAATTCCTCCTCCAGTCTGTAATCAAATTCAAGTTCATTTATGAGTTTAGGTAGGAAAAAAGACTTCTGGTCTCAGTAACACAGCTACAAAAGCACTGTACAGGATACTCACAGATACGGCATAAACCAAAGCTGGCTCTTTGTAACAGCACATTTCCTTTGTCTATTCCCCTTCTGTTGATGTACATTACCACAGCTTTGATGACAGTAAGGTTTCCTGGGCCATCTGTCATGGCTGCAGAGCTTCCACCTCCTTTAAGCGTCCGTCCACTCACAAGTACAACCAGCCTGGCTGAGTAAACTATGCTGCGTGTGCTGAGATGAAATGGAACAGAGATCAGAAGAAAATAATTGCATCTCAGTAAAAATAGCTGTGATTTCTAGTCCGAGCAAATTAATGTCACATACAAAAATTATTTCCAACGTAAAGTAACCACATTTCCAAAACAAATTCTATCCATAGAAGAAGATTACAGAATTATACTACAGCACATCTTAAAGCATCAGTTCCGTGGCAGACAGAGTAAAGAGACCAGCAAGAGAAAGCACAGAAGGGCTTCTTCCTAAGGAATAATTGACTACAGGAGGTAGAGCTGTTTGCTGGGGTTTTTTAGTGAGAGTGAGCAGAAAAGAAAAAAGTAGGAACGTGACCTCAGGACAGTCTGAAGTAACATGGAAACGGGAAGAGCTGCCCAGGTGCTCTGAGCTGTTCAGACGACATGACAGCCATTTTCTTGAATGCTGTTACATATGCAGAGACAAGCAGAAGAATGAAAATCAAGGCATTTGCCTTCATCTTAATGGCACTGTATAAGCCACCTCTCTGCAGGACTATGGCACAGACAGTGCAAGACTACTAAGAACTGCACAGCAATTGCCAAGCCACGTTTTCAGAAGCCAGCGTGACAAAGTACTTCCCTTTTCCCATCCACAAAGAAATGCTGGCTTAGACACCAATCTCCAGTGGGATAAGAATACGGAGGTACTTCATGCTGTTTTCTCAAACTGAAAGGTATCAAATGTCTACTTAAGGACAAAATAAAACCAGCAACAAAGAACATGGAAAGCACACTAACCTTGGCAGGCACTTCAGATCAAAGTACTCTAACAGCATTAACTGCAGCAGGCAGTAGCTTAATTCTGCACGTGCCTAGCAGTCTTTCTGCTTGTTGTTGAATTAAGCCTTCTTTTTCTCTAAGGTATTTCTCACACTTTCCACAGAACTGCTTTCATGCTTTACAAAAAATAACACCTGGAGAAAAACGACTCTGACAGTTCTCTGACAATACAGGGATGCAAACTTCCTACCTGTCACCCAAACAGGAGAAGCACCCACCCTGAGGCTCTTGTGCTGGCACTGCACACACTGAGCACAGAGGAATCCTTCACAGCAATCAGCTGCTGAGTTACTCGCAGTCATTCTGGGAAAACCGGTTTGCTGCCTTTGTTGTTCACACGCATAGCACTACACCAAGTTAGCACAACCATCTACACCTCCTTTTCTCCACCACACAGTGGTGTAGCTTTCTGGCTAAAAATAAAAATACCCTGCAATGCAAAGAGAATGTTCCCAGATAAAACAAGGGAAAACAATCCAACAAGCAACCTCCCTCCTTCCCCTCAGCCCACCATCCTTCCCCTCACAGAACAGACAGAACAAACCCACAGGAAAGGAAAAGACACCACATGCACTTCCTGAGCCAATTCCCAGTGTTGAGAACTTAATAAAGAAAAAAAAAAATACATTCTCTGCCTGCATCACCACAAAAAGCTGCATGGTAAATGAAATGAGCAACTGAGGGTTACAGCCTCCAGCTGCACCTCCTAACCAAAGCAGCTGGGAGAAAAAGTAAAAGTCTGTTTGCTAGTCTGTTTTTTAGACTGGAGCCTCAGAGAGTTGTAGAGATACCCCAGATAACAAAACCCTCACACCCATTCTTTGTAACTGCAGAAGCACAACCTGAGAGAGACCCTAAGAAACATACAGTTAGATTAACTTCATTATGTTCTTTTCCTCCTGTGCTTTTCGTGCTAGCTCTTAAGAACATCCCCTTTTTGAATATGGTTCAGAATCTGAACCACACCTGAACTCAGCTGCATGGGCCAAGGTGAAAACGTAACTCAAAAATGCCCTACAACTTGCACAACGTTTTTCTTACAGCAGTTAAGGACAGCTGTCCTGACACCTCAGCGTTCACAGCTTTAGGATCACGAGAAAAACAATCACCGTTGAAAGTACAATTAGCAGATAACGGCCACGTGGTGGCGCAGGGGGGAGAGAGTACGGGGGAAAAAAAAGCAGCACGAATTGAAATCCTTCTCAGTTCTTCCTCAGACATTGCTCACAGCGATCATAGACGCATTTCTACATCGGGGGGGGGGGGGGGGAGGAAGGAGAAGGAGAAGAGAGCACCGTCTTCGGAACGCGAGTGTAAATTTCCTTCACGAGTCTGCAGGCACCAACCGATGTCTTTCGTGCAGCCTCAGCACAGCCACAGAGCGCACGCGGCACAGCTCAGCGAAGGGAGCGCGGAGGACGCCTTGCTGCAGCATCACCGCCACCAGAACCCGCACAGCCCCCAGACGCCGGATGCCCGGGAGCTCCAACCCCCCCCCCCCCCCCCCCCCCGCAGGACGCGTAACGGGGCGCCGAAATTCGGCCAGGGAAAGGAGAAAGAAATCAGGCTGAGGACAAGAACTGCGGAACAGAACGTCGCTCGGAGGACGCTCGCTCTCCCCTCCACCGGCTCCCCTCCCCGCCCGCTCGCGCCCACCGGCCCCGCTCACCCCGCTGCCGCCGATCCCGGCCCTCCGGCACCGTCCCGTACGTAAGCGGCGCCATCCACGGGAGGCCCGGACCCCACGGGAGCCGACCGCACAGCACGGCCAGGAGGAGCGGGCAAACGCGGCGCGCCGCCCGGCACGTGACCGCGCGACGCGGCCGTCATCCGGGCAAAGCGGCCGCGGGATGAAGCTGGCGGCCGCCATTTTGAGAAAGGGCACGGCAAGTTCAGAGCGGCGGGGAGGCGCGCTGCAGGGGCGCTGAGGAGCGGGTGAAGCCGTCGAGGAGCCATGTTGGGTGTGGGAACGCTGCCGGGCGGAAGCGGCGTGTTTGCACCGCGGCTGGACGGAGCTTCTAACGTTCTAAACTCTTCTAATTCGGTAATTGGTAAGCGCTTCATTTACGTATATTGCGCACGTGCAGGGAAGTCGTGATTCCTTGAAATTAAGGGATCCAATATTCGTGTAAAGAAATACAGTGGAGGCAAGGTGATGGCAAATGTATTTCTCAGAACTCGGGGAACGTCGTGGTGCTGCTTCAGCTCGGTCGGTGGCTTTTCCCTGTAGCACAAACAGGGCGAGTATACAAGCACTGTGAAATGACATCGTACCTCGATTCGGGCGCCTGCTGCGATGCTGTTGGACAAAGGGCACTCGGTGCTGTGAGTGCTGCGGCAGCTCGGTCACACCGTGGGCATCAGCTGGGAATTGCACGCAGCCTGTTGAGCACAAGGGGCACGTGGAAATCGCCAGATGAAAACACGTGGCTGAAATTCAGCAGGAGGAGAACTTACACGGGTAGCAGGCAACGAGGATGAGGGTAAAATCAAGATGTAAGGAATGCTTGAGTCCTTTTGGAGTTCTGTACGGCAGACCCGACCGATTTCAGTTTAAAGGGGAAGCTCTGAGTCAATGAGGTGAGAATTACTGATGTCCTACCGGGCTGTGATGCTGGAGACAGGAGAGGACAGGGTTACACACACCTACAGGATGCTCTCCTGCTGTGTCATGAGGCCACCCCCATTGCTGTGTGAACTCTGCAAAGCATAGAGGTAAGGTTCCTCAGCACGGCTGGATCCACTCCTAGTCCCAGACAGTTTGTGTCTAAGAGATCCTAGATAGATAGATAGATAGATAGATATAACCTTAGTGAAGCTGACAGATCTCAAACCAAACTATTAGTGGCTTACCGAGGATCCGTACCAGCAAGGTGTCTTGACATCAAGGTAGAAAGGATCTCTGTGCAGGTGTGACATCAAGAGGCATCCCTGCTCAAGGCTGTAGGAATGGAATGTTGTTCCTGCATTAGATATTAAAAAGGGAGAATTGATCTGAAGAAGCAGAGCACAATGTACTTGTATTTTGTAACTTGTCCTTAGAAACAGGTAACGTGAAAAAGTAGAAATACCATATATGTTAGTAACCTACTTTAGAAATGCAGTTGCTGAATTGTGTGATTAATTCTTGCTTGCAAAACTGCAATAGCTCTTAACTGTTCCAAATAGTGTAGGTATAGTATTATGGACTAGAAAGCATACTGTAGGGCTATATTGGATAAGAGACCCTCAGCAAAAGAAAAACAGACTCAAGAAACATCAAAGAAGCCAGGGCCTCTACACAAGGCTGGCTTGCCTTGCTCTGTGGGTAGGTTGGAATGCAACAGGCAGGAATCGAGATACTCCTCCCTATTCTCCTTTTCTCTATGCAAGGATGAGCAGAAGTCTAGAAACAAGGACTGAGTGTTGAGTGAGCAAGTGTGAGAAGTTAACTAACTAGCGATATATGCTTAGCCAGCAACAATTGATGTTTAGCCAGTATCCATATGTTCAGTTGAGCGCTGGGAAGATTGTGAACCTGAAGTACTCAGCCAATGGGGAACCAGGGAGAAAGAGATAAGTATCGAGTTATAGGGCGTAAAAGATGTAACGCTGTTTTCTGCCTGCTCTCCTGCTTGCGTGAGTTAAGAGAGGACAAGGTAAGGGTTAACCATTGTATAGGAATGTAAGGAGAGGACAAGATAAGGGTTAACTACTGTATAGCAATGCAGGAAAGCAGGATGTGAGGCCAGATAAGAAAAGAACATCAGAGTGGGCTCATGCTTGACATCTTGTAAACAGTGTTGAAAAGAAACCTCAAAATAAACACACACAGCCTTTGTAGACCCTCCCCTCCAAAATCAGCACATTTTGCACAGCCAGAGGTGCCTTCCCAGTCTTCTATCTGTTGGCAGTTTTACTTCATCTGTTTTTTCTTCTGATCACAGCAGAGTGAGTCTGCCTGCATCAGCAGAAGAGCTGCCTTTGTGGAGGTGCAGATGCAGCCGGCTGTTGTGGAATTCATCTTGACCACTCAAATGTTCTCTTCCACTCCAAATCCAGCCCGCTCTTTGGAGATGGAACAGGTGAGCGTCTTCCTCCATTACCTTTACCTTGATCAGACACCTTGATCAAATCCAGATCTCCACCAAGATACTTGACGTACGCTTTACTGTTGAGGAGACTTCTGGTCTGATGTGAGAATATGGCAAATGTGGCTACCAGTATCTTTCTGGGAAGCCAGGGATGCTCTATGAGAACATACAGCTGAAAGTTTGGCTGCTGCTGTTAGGGCCACACACTGAAAAGCTGCACAGAGTAACTTAAATCTTTCCCCCTACTCTTTTCTTTCTAAAATCACTTTCTTCAATGCTTCTGTGTGCTTTCCCACTTGAGCTGTCTTGCAGTACAACACAATGCATGATCTGTTGATCCTTACAAGCATCTTAGAAGACAAATGGCAATCAGCAGATTTAAAGAAAGCTCTTGGTATTCATTAGCATTGATGCTGAGAAACAGAAGTCTGCTCTTAATGTGAGATATTCTGACAGCTGCTTTCCTGGTAGTTTCTTCTGCCCAGTCTCTGTAGGTTAATCAGCAGGGCTGTCCAGCTGCATGGCAAAGACTGCATGGGCCCTGCAGCTGTTGCCCAGTTCTCTGCCTGCACAGCAGAGCTGTGGCTTTAGGATGAGCCTCAGCTTAGGTGCTAAGAGTGAGGAAATAACTGCAAGGTGTTTGTGCTCAGCTCTGGAACCTACAGCTGTCCTTGAGTGACTGCTAAGACCATAAGTGCACCTGGTCCAGTGGAAAGAAACAGAGCTGCACCAGGAAGAAAGTTTCCTCTGCTTGTTAGATGAGTAACTGTGAAGAGCACAAGCAATTATTATTCTAAAGGAGCGCTAAGTTTGTTCCATGTGCTTTGATACCCTGACCTTCCAATGAAATTTGCACAGTCACTGCAGTTATTGCCACCGGTGGAGTACAGATAGCTGCTTTTCCACAATATTTGCTGCTTCTCATTTGATACAATTGTTGCTCTTCTTTGGATAACACAGTTGCTGTAAGTGCAGCTTTTGTTCCTACTGGAAGGCAGTTTTTATGTCAGCAGGATGCAGGGGCTAGCTTGGCTGAACAGGAACAGCCCACAGCAGGCTGAGCTCTGCTAGGGGAAGATGGACATGCAAAGCACCTGAGCCATGTGATGATCCAGGCTGTGGAATGGAGCATATCACCTTGGCCAGTTGTTTAGTGATTCAGACGTTCACATTGTCTGCTTCCCCACAAGCAGAAGGATCAAGGGATGTCACAGAGGATCAGCTAAGCTTGGCAATACTGCTCTGGCAAGGCAGCCCCTGTGAGCACACAAAGGACAAACAGGGACAGCTCTTAGAGCAGACTCCTCGTGCTCACCTGCACTGCCCTGCACTGAGAGGCTTCAGAGATCCTGGCAGCTGGCACTGTGAGCTACTGTAGTAGAAATCTAAATATTTGTCTGCAAAAACAAGCACAGGCTGAAAGCAGGCTGAGAGCAAGGCACGGCCAGATTCAGTTCTGTGTCCACCTGCACGCTGGGTTGCAGCTGCTGCAATTGTGTGCAGTCTTTTATCTGTTGCTAAATGCTGAGAGCAAACCCAGACCTCATAAGAAGGAAACTGTAGCTATCATGACAATATTTTGCATGCAGACGAAGCTTGATTCAAGTATGGCAGTGAAGGTTTCTGACTGACCTGTCCTCACTGTTTCGGAGTTTTTTTTGCTTGCTTAAATACAGTAAGCTGCTCTCACTTATGGTATGTCCTTTGCCATAAACATCCCTGTGACAAAATGATTGTTTTGACATCATCCTCCAGAGGCTAGGATAACCAAGCCTTAGAAAAACATAGCACCTCCCCCAGAGCTGTGATGGCTGTGCTGCTGCTTGCTGATCCTCCTCTTATCTGTGCTTTTCCTTTACAGGATGCAGTTCTTAATTGTGGCCTGAGTCCCTGTGGGTTTCTTCTCCTCCCACAGAGCTGCTCACCCTGGAGGAGCACAGGCACGGACACGAGGCCACAGCAGCTCTCCCGTTGTGTCAGACAGCAGAGACATTGGAGTGGAAGAAGGCCCCACAGCTTTACAGGGGAAATTGCACACAGTCATTGACTTTCCATCCAAACGATGAAGAGGAGTTTCTTTTGCAGCACCTATCATAATTGTTTGGGTGGGTGTTGGTTTTTTTTTTCCATTATTACTAATGCAAAACTTGCTGAAACTAAGTTACCTTAACCAGGCATGGAGTGTTGTAGCAAACTTCCACTCACTTTGGACGCTGAGGACTCAACTACCTTGCAACTGCCTGATGGGCTCAGTTTAGCCACGCAATGGCACCGTTCCTTTCCTGTTAGGAGCTCAGGTGTCTAAAGCCCTCTGATGTCGATGCTTGCCAGTACTGCCTGCACCTGCAGACATCAGGATGTTCCAGATTCCAGGACCACGTGCCTGAAATAAATTCTGGTTCTCCTGTAAGCAGAGCTGTTGGACTAACTTGGTGATGCTAGGACTGGGAAGAGGAAGGGCTGCTGCAGCCCCAGCCCCACCTGACATGGGTCTCTGTAGGGCCGGGCTGCTGGCTTTGTTCCGTGCACTGCAGGGCTCTGTGACCAAAAATTACCCCCCAGAGCTGTGCTACCAGCTGTGCCCACACGTCGCTGGCATACATGGCTGAGAAGCACCTGCACATGGCCAGCCAGGAGCTGCTGCCCTTCTGACCACCTCAGTCAATAACTGCTCTCTGCTTGGGTGCACATGCTGGAAGCGATTACTCAACAAATAAGGCAAATGTAAGAAATAAACACTAAACAGGGCTTATTGTCACAAGGTAGCTGGACAAGAGGAGTGAGAAACTGCGTAAGCACTGGGCATGTAAGCACTGGGCATGCTCTCCTAGTTCACTTGGGTGCAATTTTATTTAAGATCCTCTCAAGATCTTCTGAGCCTGTTTCAGCCTTGACGGGCATGAACAGTCCAGCCATGAGTATTTCTTTACTGGGAGACCTGCCACATTTCAGTGGGAAGGTTACTGCTGCCCTCTGCAGCTGAGGAGAGCCCAGACCTTTAAATTTGGGCTGTGGCATTGTTGTTTTAGTAAATCATGCCTAGTCAAGGTTTGGATTAATTTGGCATGTACAACAATCTGTGTATGCCTACCTGTTTTCCTATGCTAGATTGCAAACGTTTAACAAAGCAAACCCCCTCACTTTTGCCAGTGGTTTCCCTTCTGGTTACAAACTCATCACTTACTGCAGTAAGAACACCACATTTTGCTTCAGCGTTTGCCACAAATTCCACACCTTGCTGTCATTCCTTCCTCAGCTTCATTTTCTCCACCCTTCACTGCTATCGCACCTGTTACCAGACGCAGCGCCGCTTTTGGCACAAGCTGCTCTTCTGTTCAGTGAGGGCAGAACCCTCCTGGGCCCTGCCAGCCCCCCCTCCCAGCTCTTCCTGCGGAGATCTCTGGGTCCTAGAGCCCTTCTCTCAGCTCCTCCCTCCTCAGGCTTCCCGTGCTGACACTGGGTTACCGAGTTTCCTACATCTCTGCAGATCAAGGCTCTTCTCGCTTCCAGTCTTTTGTTTTCGCCCCCACTCGCCATTAACGCCTCGTTTGCGTTCTGGTTACCAGCGGGGGAGGAGCAGTGCGGGGATGCGTTCTCTTGCCGGCACTGATCTGCTTTGGCTGGAGCAGATCACAGACTCGAATATTTTAACCCGCTGCTCTTCTTTAAATTTTGTGCTGATTTTTGTCTTCCTTGTTTTGTTTTTCACAGTTCCACTATTTGTACCCTCCGTTCCGCTTCCATGTACCGTTCCTAATTCCACTTCCATGCAGCACTGATGTTTGCACTTCCATACAGCACTAACATTCACACTTCTGTGCACCGTTAACAATTCCACCTCCGTATACCATTAACCATTACATTTCCATCTGCCATTTACATTTACACTTTCATTGCCATAAGCGTTTACCAATCACAAAGACAGTGACAATGACCAGTACAGTTTATCCTCAAGACTCTTCCTCTCTCCCAAGTTATCAGTGGGAAATGAGCCTTCCCGTTCACTTGATTCTGGCAGTGGAAATCCCACCCGACGGCGGCGGCCGGGGAGCCGATGGCATTGTGGGCTGAGCAAGGACTTCATTCAAGGCTGGATTCCTACATTTATTGATGAATATGTTTAATTTTGGTGGGCTAATTCATATGCTGACCAAATATACACATTCTGGGAGTGGGGGTGGGGCACACGACTGAGGCATGTAAGTTTGCAAACCAAAGTACTAAGAAAAAAATGCATCTGATTTCCAGGTATAAAGTCTACAGACTGCACTGAATGTTCGAAAGTAGGCAACCGGTGTATTTGTATCAGATGAAAAGCAGTGGAAAAAAACCCCAAGCCCACATCATTCTGAAGATGGAACCAAGCAGTCCACTTCTGGAAATGCTACGAGATGCCTACAGAAAAAGGTCTTCTGGTTCTTATAGACAGTCTCTTCAAGGTAGGGGCTGCAAAGGCTGATGTGGATTCATGGTTTTAATTAAGCTGGTTTGAACACCAAAATATATATGCTGCAGAACTTCATAACAATAAAAAGAGAAACCCTACTCATTTTCCTGAGAACGTAAAGCTACAGGATTTTATACATCCTCTGCTCAGGGAAAAAGATTTTTGTAACGTAGGGAATGAAATGAATTGTATTCGGTTCTTGTTTCGCGGGGAGTAAACTCAGTGTGAAGGATCATCATCATCATCAAAAAAAAAAACCCCACCTGTGTAAACAGACTCATGTAAGGATGCAGATTTTGCACAGAGAGAAGCAAAAATCTGCCATGCAGCTGCTTAGAGCACATCCTCATGCCAACAATTTGAGCTGACTTAGGTAAAATCAGCTTTGACGTTCATATCCTTCACCCAGTTGCTAAAACAACATTGAGAACGTCTGTATTCAAACTCAAGGGTTTGAGGGAGGGAATGTCCAGCAGCTCAGGGTGCTGTGCCACAAAGCTCTGCCTGCTGGCTGGTGCTCCGTGGACCCTACCATGACTTCATAAGACTGGAACATCAGCAAATAATTACAAAAAATATAATTTGAGTTTTACAGTTTAACCCACACTTTTCTGCAGCTTTGAGCTCCTCTAAAGATGCACATGGTTCCCTCTACGATTTAAGGGACATGAAAAAATGACTCAGGGAGGGAAATACCTCTACATACATCTCTTGTGTAGCGAGATAGATATGCCTCCAGATTCATCTCTTGTGTAGACAGGGAGAAACACCTCTGCGCTGTGGCAAGATTGATCTGCACTGCTGGAGCGTCCTGTATGGCAAGTGTGCTTGTGTGGCAGGAGTGCAGAATGCCCCAAAGGCTGCTTGGGGCTTTGGTCACAGGGATGTGAGCAGTTCCTTAGATGTTCAACAGTTGGATGCGTTCTGTAGTGAGAAGAAATACAAAAGCCTTAGGAAAAACTCATCAGCTCAGTGTCGAGTCAGAACTGCACATCCATCTGCCTTCAGCCCCATCTGCGCTCCTCCGCATCCCACGCAGCCCTTTGTGCTCCCAGAATCTCAGACATCTCTGCCCATTCCCAGTGATGCAGTGGGGACCAACCTCATCTACAGCGGATGGGCACTTGCCCAGTGATGCTGAGGGTGAGCAGGAAACTGTGAGACAGGAAACACGACAGTGGGCTTGTGCTCAAGTCCTGAGCAGTTTTAATTGCTGCAGCAGCCAGCAGCTGGGAGATTCTGCCAGGCTGCCTGGTGAAGAATGGCAGTTCAAGAATCAAGAGTAGGAGTTCAAGCAAATTTGTGTTACTGCTTACACCTGGCTTATGGCCTCCTCGACAGGCAGGGGAGCTGGTAGACAACCAGATGATGCCATGTGGCCCCTATGGGATTCTATAAAAATCAACTGGTTGGAGCAAACAGCCCTGAAGCTTTAGTTTTCATTAATATCTGTCTTTTGATTAAAACCCACGTAGCTCTTGCTAAAAAGTGAGGGCAGGAGCAGCTGATCTGTGTTGTACTGGTGATCCTCAGCAGTAGTTATTCCTCCAGAGTCAGACTGCTAGAGGAGCAGATGAGGACAGATTTTTGACCTGAGAAGATTCAGTGCTGAAACACTTTGCTGTCCAGCCTGCCTACAAAATACCTGGAGTGGCACGTGAAATAGAAAATCACTTTAAAGTATGGACATGAGAAAGTATGACTTGCTTCCTTGAAGCTCAAAGAGCAATATGAAAGCATGTGGGAGAAGCTTTTTGAAAGTAATGTTATGCTTTATAAAACATCAGTTTTATAAAACACTCATTTATCCTGCTCATCTTTAAATGCTGCCTACATTCAGCAAAATGTAGTCCTTTAATCTTGGGCTGAGGAGAACTCTGATGACAACTACATAAGTGAGAGGGTTAGATTAAGTCTATAAATGCACTGGAAGAGGAGAACCATGAGGTTTTCCAAAGCATAACAGAATAAAGTTAGCAAAAGGAATATTAAGAATTTCACAGAATATTTCCTGACAGAAAGGGCTTTAGACTGTGAGCAAGCTACTTGAATGGCATGCACACTATGCTCGATGGGACCCACAGGTCTGTTTCTAAGGTGGAAAGGTCACAGTTAGATAACATACCTTGTTGTTTGTGCACCCTTCATTTGACAAGAAGTAGGCAGCTTGGGTCTGGCAACAGAGTTGTTTTATTTTTGTGTTTTATAAGATATTAGCTGCAATGTTCACTGATTTTGGCTTTCACACGTCCCGTGTGTTTGATAAAACGTGGCCTTGTGAATCTTAAAAGCTTCGCAGAGCAATGGTGGCATCTGGGTAGATTTTCATTTTATTGGATTAATGTTAATGGGCTGCCTCATAACCAGTTTATTTATTCATTGCAAATGCTCTAAATGCTGGCAAACGATATAATTAGACTATAAGCTATCAAGGAATCAAATAAGAAGCACGTTTCTGATACTCTGCACAACATTCTGTATAATATTCTATTTGCCCCGTGTTTTCCTTTCAAAATGATATTGAACTTTAAGTTGGGAGTTTTCCATTTTCCATGCTAGAATGTTCAAAACCAACAGCCAGCATTAGCAGGAATCTGCCATCAGCTCTGGCTCCTGGCTCCCATAACTGTCCTTCTCACAGAGCCATAGAATCACAGAGCAGCTTGAGCTGGAGGGGACCTTAAAGCTCACCCAGCTCCAACTCCCCGCCGTAGGCAGAGGTGCCAGCCACCAGCTCAGGCTGCCCAGGGCTCCATCCAATCTGGCCTTTGATGCCTCCAGAGATGGGGCACCACAGCTTTTCTGGGCAGACTGTGCCAGGGCTTCACTACCCTCTGTGTAAAGAATTTCTTCCTGACACCTAACCCAGACGTCCCCTCTTTTGGTTCAGAACTGCTCAGCCTTGCTTATCTCTAGCACACCACGTAAGAAGTCAGCCCCCCTCCTTTTTATAAGCCCCCCTCAAGGTGCTGCACTGCTACAATGGGGTTTTCCAGGGCCTTCTCCAGGCTGCACAAGCCCAGCTCCCTCTGCCCATCTTCCTAGGAGAAGAAAGGAGGGAGACAGCCACTTCCCTTGCTCTGCTAGCCACTCTCTCTGGATGCAGCCTCAGTCTCTTGTTTCTCTTCCTTCATCCTCACCACTCTGTGCACCTCTGCCTGCCCCCAGCCACATCTGGTGGGGAGGCACCTCCTGGTCAGAGTTTGCTGACCAGAGTTTGCTCCCTTCTCCTGTGAACGGCGATGCTGTGCAATCCTTCCTCCAACAAAGTGCCTTTTTACATCTGGAGAGAACAGGGTCTCAGTGATCTAATGGACCTCGGTGTTTGCACCCCAAAGCCGCAAAAGGGACAGTTTCCACCTGTTTCCACTTTGTCTTTTATTTAAGCAGTTCTGTTGACTGCTGCTGGTCAGTTTGCACACTGGTCATACGGATCTTCTCACGGTGGTGAAATATTTATGTCACGTGTTCTGCTGTAACTCCTCAGTTTCTTCTCTTTGAGCTTGCAATCTTCACATTTTCAATGGTTTGGTTGGTTGGTGCCTCATAGAGCAGAAGTGCTGGGATTAAAAAGTACATATAGTATATAAAGTTCTTCTCCATCTTGCAATTTCTGTATCTCAATTATGTATTCGCAAAGTGAGTATGAAATATTTAACTGTCCAAGTCTATCTTGTTAGAAGCCTTTAAGAATGCAGCTTCTTTCAAATGTCAAATGTCTTTCAATTTTAACATAACTCATGGTTAGGAATTAAACATGTAATTAAAAAAATAAAGTACAGATTGTTTCACATTTTCTAAAGAAAACGTTTGACCTTGAGTCATTTCCCCTAAAGATGCTGAAGGCTTTTCCAGTCGGAAGTGAAGAGCAGATTGCTGGTAAGCTGCCATGGGTTAAAAAGCTCCACATGTCATCTCGGCCCCAGGTTGGTCCTTTTTCCCTTGATGAGAACAGCCCTATTAAGCTGGACGTAGTGATCCATGACTCTTAGACAAAGCTGGTAGCTGGGGCCTCTTACTGGAATTTCGTGCCTCTGTTCGTGTAATTTCCTGAGCATTCTCACTGCTAAGTGGGATGCCTGGTCTTGTTTTGTTGACTGCACCAGGCCACATGAGGCAAGGCTTGCAAGGCAAGTTCCTCCTCAGGGCTGAGCACAGCTCGTGTTCTGGGGACATCGCCACGCGTTCCATCACCTGGTGTGTGCAAAGAGCACCAGAAGCAGCACATCAAAGACAAGACGCCTGTGACGTACCTAAAAACACCATTTAAAGTGCCAACATTGTAGCTCTCAGAACAGCCAGGGCCAAAGATGAGGGTGGGAGCTGGGCACAGCCCCTCCTCCCAGCACTGTGGCTGCTCACAGCCCCTCTCAGCCCTGCAGACCATCTGGGTGCAGGGCTGGAGCTGTGGCTGGGCAGCACTTTGAGCAGGCGATCAGCTGCAGCTCTGCAGCGTGCACTGCTGACACACTGTGCTCTGCAGTTGTGTGTTTTCTGCTTACGGCTGGAACAGAATGCAAAATTAAGAGATGAAACAAATCCCACTTGAAAACCTTTGAGAAGGAACCCAGTCAGTTCTCCTGTTACGGCTCTACAGACTTTTTTAAGTGACAAAGTGATGTTTTTCATTTTTCCTTTTTTTTCCCTCTTTCTTCTGGCTCAGAGGAAGAGGAAAGTCTTGTTATGGTGGGTGAGCATTTTATATATTTATTGCATTTCTTACATTCTTACATTTCTCTGCTCAGGCCCCCCTCCCCTGAGGAGGGAAAACTCCAGCACGTGGAAACTGGCCTCATGTTGTAAATGCAGCTCCTACAGATCGACAAAGAGCCTCCTCAAAGGACAAAGAAACTACAGTTTGTAATTCATTGCCTCTTCATTTGTGTAAAGTGATGCCTGTGTCTCTGATGTTTTTCAGGAGAAATATACTTTGTAGGATATTAGTTACTAAACACATCCACTGTAATTCTGTCCTTCCCAGTGTTTTCCCCATAGATCCCTTTGTTATTTCCTCTGGGTCCCTCTTATTGATCCTTTTTGGCAGCACTTTATCTCAAGTATTTTAAGGTCTGCTTATCCATATATTGGTCACAACAGCAGCTGCATGAATTTTCCTTATTCCCCCTATCCTCCCTACTCCCCCCATATGCTGCATGCCCCCATACCCCCCCACTCTTATGCCTCTCCCACCCCCCCATATCTTCCCTACCCCCCTATTCCCCTCCGTCCACCCCATGCCCCCCTTTCCCTCTCAATCCCCCTCATACCGTTTAAATCCCCCCAAACCCTCTGCCCCCTTATTTCCCCCCATCCCTCGCCCATCCCCCCTATCCCCCACACCCCCCCATTTCACCATATTCCCTCCCATGCCCCCCACCCCCCTTAAATCCCCCTTTCTCCACCCACCCCCCTACATCCTCCATTCCCCTCTTACTCCCCCATTCCCCCCATTCCCTCCACCACTCTGCATTCCCATCTGCCCCAAATGTTTCATATGGAATTTGAATGGAAAAGTATGAGCATCAGTATGACACTTCCATAGTGGTAATTATTGAACCTTCGCATTCATTATCAGTGGTTGTGAAAACAAGGAAGTAACATTCATCAAAGGCTGGATCCAAATCAGTTTCTTAAGACAGTACAGTGCAGGAAAGAGCAGACGACTCAGCCTTGTGAGTAGAGATCATAAACAGAGAGAGATCTGGAGAAGATTGGGCTGTGCTTACAGAGGAACGGGAAGGAAAATGAAGTTCAGAGTCAGTGCAAATCCTGCTATGCTCTCATCATGCAAGCACAAATGTCAAGGCAGAATGCAGGACTATTAAAGCTTCTCACTAAACAGGAAGTTTCTTGTCTATATTTATTGGAAAGAGCCTGAGATGGTGAGAAAATCTAAAGCAAATGACTAAAGAAGGATGCAGCTATTAAATTCCATCAAGTGCTGACCCATGAAAGACGTAACGATAGAAAGAGGTGGAAAGAAATTGCTTATATTCATTGCTGTGCGATCAGAAAGCTTCAATCCTAACGTGAGAAATGTGCAGGTGTGCAGCTCAGAAACACGTGGAATCATAAAACATGTAGGCATCTTCCTTCCATTGGTCAGAGAACTGTGCAGCACAGCTGCAGCTTCTCCCAAGTCTTTACTGCAGGAAGGATTCCGAAAAGACATCAAGAAAAAAAAGAAAGGAAAAAAAAAAGCCTCTCCCTTTTCTTCAGGCTTTTTTTTCTTTTTTTCTTTTTTTCTTTTTTTCTTTTTTTCCTGAAAACAAAAAGCAAACAAAAGGTACAAAGAAGAGATTTCTGGGGATGGCTGGAATAAACTCCACTCAAGCTCAGCATTCTACACAATGCTTCTGTCTTAGGAGTAAATCAGTGGCAAGTTCCAGGCAAGGCCCAGCTGGCCAAGTGCAAGTGCTGGCGACTGACTGAATGAGAAGCTAATTGACTCTCTGCAATTAACTTCCAGTGCTCATTATCACTGTGATATTTAAGGTACTTGTAAAACTGATGAATCTGTGCTTGTGATTTCTTTTAAGTGAGAAAATAAAACAAGTTCCAGATGAGTAGCGGGGTGATGATTATCTGTTAATATTGTTCTACATGTTAATTTTGGTAATGGCTGTATTTTATTAAGGACTAACGAGTCACCTTCAGTGCTTCCAGTCCAGGAGACAAGGAAAAACCCAGCAAAGGACAGTTACAACCCACGGCAGCAGCAGCAGCACAGTGCTTTGGTGCAGTTCTGTTACCCAAAGCCTCCTGAGGAGATGACATTTGGAGATCAGCCGAGTGATGTTTGTGGAGCAAGCTCCTCTCGGGAAAATTAAGGAAGCAGAAATGCAAATGCCCAGCACTCGGCTCCTGCAGGCATTTGGAACGCAGTCGGCTTTGCCATTCCTTTACATTTTCATTTTTTCAGGAAAATGGTCGCATCGGTTCCTTACGCCGCTTCTCCGTGTCTCCTCCACGCTCACAAAGGCGGGTCCGCACGACCGCGCTCAGCGCGGCTTCCATCGGCGACGTCACGGGGGGGGGGGTTGACGATCGCGGCGGTTATCGGCTGTCGGTTGGCGCCATCAGGCGACAGCAGTCGGTCGGCGCGCAGCCATGCCTGCTTTCCAGCCCGTCCTGCGGCGTCGCTGCCACTTCGCCGACCACTGCCGGAGCGTGCGGCTCAGCGGCAGCTGGGGGCGCCCCTACCCAGGTAATGAATGGGCGGCGGGGAGCCGGGGGAGGAGCTGCCGCGCGGAGCCGCGCCGCGCCGGCGCTCGTCCCCGAAACGCCGCGTCTGCGACCGCGCGTCCGGCAGCCGCCGTCGGGAAGCGGCGCGGGGCTCCTCTGCCGGGCGGCACGGCCGCTGATAGCCGGCGCCGTCCGCACGGACCGGAGCCCCGCGTGCGCGACCGTTCCCGCCGCTGCCGCTCCGGGCGCGGGGCCGGGCTGCGCGGAGCGGCTCCCATCGCGCGGGACGGCCGGCGAGCCGCTGCGGGCACTGCGATGCCGCGGCGGGGGGCTGTGGTTCGCCCGTGCCCGGGTTGACTCGCCGGGAGCGCGTTTTCACAGAATCACAGAATCACCTCTGAAGAATCCTCTTCAGGGGGACCTCGAGAGGCTGGAAAGGTGGGCAGGGTGAACCTGATGAGGTTCAACACGGCAAAGTGCAAAGTTTTGCACTTGGGCCGGAGGAATCCCAGGCTGGAAGGAGCGGTCCTTGAAAGCAGCCCTGTGGAGAAGGACCTGGGGGTCCTGATGGATGAAAAACTTAATAAGAGCCAAGAGTGTGCTCTTGCGGCTCAGAAGGCAAATGGGATCCTGGGGTCCATCAAAAGAGGGGTGGCCAGCAGGGAGAGGGAGGTGATTGTCCCTCTCTACTCTGTTCTTGTTAGGACCCATCTGCAGCACTGCGTCCAGCTCTGGAGCCCGCAGTACAAAAAAGACAGGGAGCTGTTGGAGTGGGTCCAGAGGAGGGCCACTAGGATGGTCAGGGGGCTGGAGCACCTCCCCTATGAGGACAGGCTGAGGGAGCTGGGCTTGTTCAGCCTGGAGAAAAGAAGGCTGCGAGGTGACCTCATTGCAGCCTTTCAGTACCTAAAGGGAGCCTACAGAGAGGAGGGGAATCAACTTTGAAAGGGTTGATATGTGTAGGACGAGGGGAAACAGTTTTAAGTTGAGGGAGGGGAGATTTAGGTTGGACATCAGGGCGAAATTCTTTACACAGAGAGTGGTGAGGTACTGGAACAGGCTGCCCAGAGAGGTTGTGGATGCCCCGTCCTTGGAGGTGTTCAAGTCCAGGTTGGATGGGGCCCTGGGCAGCCTGGTTTAGCATTAAACGTGGAGGTTGGTGGCCCTGCATGTGGCAGGGGGGTTGGAGATTCATGATCCTTGAGGTCTCTTCCAACCCTGGCCATTCTGTGATTCTGTGACTCTGTGATCACAGAATTGTAGGGGTTGGAAGGGACCTCCAGAGCTCATCGAGTCCAACCCCCTGCCAAAGCAGGTTCCCTACAGCAGGTCGCACAGGTCGGCATCCAGGCAGGTCTGGAACATCTCCAGAGCAGGAGACTCCCCCCCTCCCTGCAGCCTGTTCCAGTGCTCCTCACCTCACTGCACAGAAGTTCCTTCGCACATTGGTGCAGAACTTCCTATGCTGCAGTTTCCGGCCGTTTCCCCTTGTCCTGTCTCCACTCCCCACTGAAAAGAGTCCGGCCTCGCCATTCTGCCCCCACACCTCAGATACTGATAGACCTGGATCAGGTCCCCTCTCAGCCTTCTTTTCTCAAGGCTGAACAGACCCAGTTCACTCAGCCTTTCCTCATAGCAGAGATGCTCCAGGCCCCTCACCATCTTGGTGGCCCTCCGCTGGACTCTTTCCAAGAGATCCCTGTCTGTTTTGTACTGGGAGCCCAGAACTGGACGCAGTGCTCCAGATGAGGCCTCAGCAGGGCAGAGCAGAGGGGGAGGATCACCTCCCTCGACCTGCTGGCCACGCTCTTTTAATGCACCCCAGGATGCCATTGGCCCTCTTGGCCACAAGGGCACACTGCTGGCTCATGGCCGACCTGTCGTCCACCAGGACACGCAGGTTTTGCTTCGGACTTCTTGCTGGCTTGGTCGGCGTTGTGCGAATGGCTTTGCATCCTTTCTTCTTCGTTATCAGGTCCCGTTGGAGGAGCCAGAGGAGGATGGCCTGCCGCTTCCCAGAGACACAGAAACGCTGTCCGGGCATCCGTGCTCCAGCGTTTGAGAAGACGTGGAGGAAGATGGCGTACCATAAACCAGATAAACACAGTCCTCATCCAGCCCACAGTAATCCAGCATGTGGGAGGGGCTGTAGGAGCATGGGGTACCGGTGCCCAGACTGCCATGATCGTTAGCCAGCCCTCCATGATGCAGCATATGGGAGGAGCTGGAGGAGGATGGGGTGCTGCTACCCTGAGAAACAGGTACATTATGCGGGCAGCCGTGTTCAAATACAGGAGAGGAGCCGTGTTCGAGTACAGAAGGCAAGCTGTGTCCAAGTACAAGAGATCAGCTGTAGGAGGATGGGGAGACAATACTCACACAAATACACATTTTAGCCAGCCCTCCATGATCCAAAACAAGGGAGGAGCTATGAGAGGATCAGGAGACATTGATCAGATAACCAGCATGCTCAGTCAGCTATCCATAACGCAGCACACGGGAGGAGCATTAGGAGGATTGAGAGACACTAGCCAGATATCCACACTCGTTAGCCAGTTCTCCATGATGCAGCTGACAGAAGAAGCTGTAGGAGGATCAGGAGACACTACACAAAGAAATATAGAGCATGGCCAGGCACCCATGATGCAGCACATGGAAGGAGCTGTAGGAGGTTGGGGTGCTGCTACCCCGAGAAACACACACATTATGCCGCCAGCCATGTTAAAGTACAAGAGAGGAGCCGTGTTCGAGAACAAGAGAAGAGCTGTAGGAGGATGGGGAGATGCTACTCCATCAAATACAAATCCTAGCCAGCTGCCTGTGCTCCAGCACACGGGAGGAGCTATAGGAGGATTGGGAGATGCTACACCAACAAATACAAAGCTTAGCCAGCCACCCGTGATGCTGCACATGGGAAGAGCTGTAGAAGAATGTGTTGCTGGTACCCCAAGGAAGAGAAATCCTATCTGCCCAGCTGTGTCCCTGTATAAGGAAGGGGCTGTAGGGGGATCTAATGCTGCTAACCAGACAGACACAAACTTTTGCCAGCCACCCATGGTTCTGCACAAGGGTGGAGCAGTAGGAGGATCGGGACATTCTACTCAGACAAACCTTAGCCAGCCATCTGTGCTCCATAACACAAAAGGAACTGGAGCTGGATGGGAGGGCACTACTCCGACAAATACAGACCTTAGCCAGCCACCTGTGCTCCGGCACACGGAAAGAGCTGTAAAAGGATTGGGTGATGCTACCCAGATAGACACAAATCCTAGTCAGCCACCCGAGATCCAGCACACGGGAGGCGATGGAGGAGGACGTGTTGTTCGTGCCCGGAGAAACACAAACCTTTTCCAGCCAGCCGTGCTGCAGTGCAAAGGAGGATCTACAGGAGGACGGGGCGCTCCTGCAGCCGTTGTGCAGCCTCCTGTGCTCACAAAGAGCTCCTCAGGTGGCAGCCGCGATGGAGGAGGATTCTCTGATGCCTCTGGTGTTGGAGCAGCAGGCAAGAAAGGCGTGGTGTCCTCGCAGAAAATGAGCTCTGCGTTAAGCGGTGCAAACCCGGCTGATGACTACAGAGATGAACAGCAGAGACTCGTGTAAGTGACGGCCCTGTCCCCTGGGAAGCGCTCGCAACGAGCTGCTGAAGTGCTTACTGGCTTCCTCTGGATAATGGAGAGGATGCGTTCCGGGGGATGGAAGGTGGGACGTGGGGGGGACCATAGGAAGCACGGGGGTTTTGTTTCTCTTCCAGACCTGATGTGATTTACTCGTGATAAAACGCTTTGTCGGACATCTGTGTGTCCAGCAGAGCGACTGCTGTGTCTTTCAAGATAGCTGTAGCATTCCTCAGCTGTTCCCTCTGAGCAGCGTCCTATGGAATTCATTGGCGCGGCTTTGGCTATTTGAGTTTGACTTTGCTTTTTGCCCTGTGGCTTCTGACTGTGTGATTTCTTCCTTTGCTGTCATGTTGTGTTTTCTAGAGACTGGGTAGCAGAAGACATGGCGACCTGGGAATCTTCTGGTCAGTGGATGTTTTCGTGTTACTCTCCTGAGAAGGGCAAGCCTAATGTTTCAGGTCAGTCCCATTTTTAGCCTTGCTGCGTGCTGCGTGCTGCTACTGTTCAGGCTGCATTTCCATCCTTGTCCACACTGCTGTGCCTCAATGGAAGCACTGCAAGGTGAGGACGTGCCTTGTGATGCAACAGGTAGGGGCACTGGATTACGGCATTTCCTTGGTGTGTTTGCACCCCTGAAGTTGCACCAGGAGTCCTTTCTGTGTCTCCAAGTCGAGCTGACTGGTGGCAGGCGGTGCAGCAAGGGCAGTTTCTTGTGTAACTCTATAGAGGGCAATTTTGTGTTTGTGTTGCATTCCCTTTGGAGCATGCTGATTGTTTGCCTCCCTGCAGACTTTCCAGAGATCTCCCCTGAGGAGCTGCGCCTGGGGTATTACATCTGCAGAGCCAAGGAGGGCACAGGACTCTACGTAAGTATTTGGAACAACTGAGCTTTCTGTGACGCATTCAGGGTAGCAGTGGTTCCTGTGCTTCAGGTGGCCGCTCTTGACTCAGTGAATACCAAACTCGAGGGGAATGCAAGAATGCCCTCATACGTTCACTTTTCTGTGCAGCGAGTAGAAAACAGCAGGAGCTGCTGGCCTGAAGGCTTTGCCATCACTGAGCAACTTGATGTGGCCATAGGTGTCCCTGTTCACTGCAGGGGAGTTGGGTCAGATGGCTTTAAAGGTCCCTTCTGACTCAAACAGGTCTATGATTCTCCCTGCCTCTTCCTGATAACTGCGTGGCACAGGCCTCACCAGTGATGCAGGCACAAAACATATTATCCAAAGCAGGAGTTTCTGCTCGTAAAGTGGGGCAAGACCTGAATTGTCCAGTCTGAAATTTCCTTGCAGTAGCTCAGATCACTCTTGTTCCCCCTTTTAAAGAAAGGGGAAAGAGGAAGGGGGAAAGGGGAAAAAGACCAAAATAAGAACAAACCAAAAGCCATGCTTAACAAAAGCATGTTTGTGTTTTCCCACATTTAGATAATCGCTGTCCATCAGTATGTGCAGCAATGGAGAAACAGGCTGCAGGAGCTGAAGGCTTTAAACGCCTGGAGAACAGCATCGATGGTAAGTGTTAAGGAAAGATAAAGTACTTCTGTTCCTGATATTGCTTTTCTCTTAAATATCGAGTGAAGGTTTTTCTTAGGATTCCCATTTAGGCAGAGCTCAGGGTTCAGACTTCAGCACAGATGATGGTTCTGCGCTCAGAGAGCAGACTGAGCCAAAGCAGCGACACAGATAGAGTCATGAAGCAAACTAGAACAAGGGAGAGGAGAATGAGAGCTCCAGAGGTTTTGGTGATGGCAATTACTTTTTGCCCGTCAGTCAACAGATTCCTGCTTCTGGGGTGTTTGCAGACAGTAGCCTGAGAGCGTTTTGTTTAAAGTAGCCATTGCTCGTGGCCAGCGTTTGGTTCAGTTTCTCAGTTACGTTCAGTTGGTCGGCACACGTGGGTTTTTGCTTTAAGCGTGGATTGAAAGATGCCTGCCTGTGCTGGAATGTAGTTTTCATGGATGTATTTGGAACTTTTTCAGCTACTTTGGAGAGAGAAAGCGGTCACTCCACCATCACCTTCTCTTGGACTGGGAGGACAGTAAGCCCCAAACACTGGGTTCCCAAGTAAGTTTCTGCATAAGGAACCAGTGATTAAACAGGTGCTGATAAGCGTTCTTCTGCAGCACTGAAGCGCAGCAGTGTTTCTGTATGGCAGGTGCACCCATACCGAATAATGTAATTATTCCTTCCTGTCCATTTCCTCACTGCAGGCTCTCCAGCCAACAGCAGCAGCGGTGCTGCCCGCTTGTCCCTGCACGCAAATCCCAGCGTCTCATCTGGAAGCGCTCCAGCTGTGGGGAGCTCTGCTGCTGCCTCCAGTCCTCCTGCCCTCGGAGTGACGTCCTCCCACAGCTGTCCCCATCCCGTTGGCACTGGGGATTCTTCGGCTCCATCTGCAGCCTCACTTCACGCTCCTGGAACGGCCGCTGGCCATGGACTTCTGGGCTTCTGGGCCCTGGGAGCCCTGCTGCAGCAAATCCTTCCAGCACTGCTCCACTTGCTGTCGCTGCTCCCAAGGCAGCTACAGAACCTTCTCACCCGGGTGCAAGCAGTGCTTTGGCCGCACCGACTGCCGGTGCCTCTGCACACAGCGCCGCGTCTGCGCCTCTGCATCCACATGGCATCAGAGCAGGGCAGTTACACACACCGAGGAGGGAATTAACAGCCGGAGAGCTGGAGCAGTTCAGAGCCAACAAGTTCACACTAGGAAAGGTCCGTGAGACCACCACCAGCAGATCTTTTATATGATAAGGATTTAAGTTAATTCTGAAGTTGTATGCCTTAATTCCATAGGATTCTGAAGTTATATGCCTTAATTAAATAGAAATAAATATATTTTATTGTTTACATATGCCTTAATTAAATAGAAATAAATATTTATTTACATATGTCTTAATTAAATATAAATAAATATATTATATTATATTATTTACATAATACATACATAAAAGTTGTTATGTGACTCTTCCAATAAACAATGTTGTGATGGAGCAGTGAGTTGGAATGCTTTTCTATGACTTAAGTTCTCATTTAATCTCTTCAGTCTTCTGTATAATCAATGATGATCCAGGTGCTATAATTAAGAAACATACAAGAGAGTTTGGCTATGCAGGTTATGACACCACAAAGAAGAGACGAAGGGCTTACCCTTATCCTGGGCTCACTGGAAAGCTCCAAAGGAGGGATCTCCAGCAGAGACCCTTCCCCGCTGGCAGTCAGATCTCGAATGGGGTCCAGGAGAGGCGCAGCCAGGCTCCGTCCCTCCCAGCAGCACAGCGCATTGCCTTCACTGTGCTCCCAGGGCTGATCAGCGCTCGCCTCAGGTGATCGACCAGAGGCTCAGGCTGTGATTCAGCAGCTCCCATACAGCCTTCACAGTCAGATACCTCGTGGTATCAGCATTTCCACTGCACCGGTCCTAGGCTCACAGATCCTTGAGCACTGGCCAAGCAGGTGGCTTCTGCCAAATGCTTCTCCCACTGCTTTCGTGTTCCTCCCCCCATTGCCTCCAACATCATTTTCAACAACCCACTGTGTACTGTTGGATTTTACCAGCAGCTGGTGCATGCAAGGGAAAATGAGATCAGTCCACTCGGTGCCAAGATCTTTGGCCAAAGTATTTGCAAGGGAACTTTCAAAATGTGTCTCCCCATCTGACTCAATTCTTTCACTGTAGAGAAGACCTAAAATATTCAATCCAGCAACTGTTTTATGTGCATCTATCTATCTATCTATCTATCTGCTCCATTCCATTTCATCTTACCCATAAGTCTTGTTAAGCACACACGTAGAAAGCAGGGTTGTTCAGCTGTGCCCTTCCCCAGGTCACTCTGCTCTCCTCAGACCCCCAGCTCTGTCCCAGAAGCATCTTTCATCTGCCCTTCCTAGAAAGAGCTGCCTGCTTTTGCAGTACAAATGGACTAGTTGATGGTGAACTCCTGACTTCCTCATGCCTGGAACAACTCCATGGGCCTCCTCAGCCATCTGCACCAACCCTGGATGTTGTTTGTCTCCACAAACAGCACCCCTACCACCGCATCTTCTTTCCAGAGTTATGTTTCCCCATCTCTGACTAAGGGAGAGAATCTGCTCTGGATCTTCTCCTTATACACAGCAAACTGAATGCCAGAGCAGCACCAGAAGGGAGAGTCCAGTTTGTTTGCTGCTCCAAAGCCGTGCTCGGGATACAGCTGGGACTTCTGTGCTTGTTAGCTACAGAGAGGCAGTGCTTTGTTCCAGAAGAGCCACCCAGCTCCACGTTGGGCCCACTTGTCTGACATGAGAACCTGTGACCACCGAGGGTCTGCAGCCCCCCACCGAGGGAGTCCTTTCAAAGGGGTAAGTGGAAAACAGAAAGGCTTCACCTTGTATGTGCCTAAATAGTCAGTTCCACAGCCCTTGAGGCAAATATTTTAATTTGCTTTCTCTGCCCCACTCTGTAAAATACAAACATTTTAGAAAAAGCATAGGGAACGTAAATGGATATGTGCATGAAAAATTGTCCACACGATGCAAAACAGTGTTAAATGAGTTAAACCAGCTCCCGTAGAGCTCTGTGACGAATATGAAGCAGTAATGATGATGTGGCACTTAGAGGCCGATGTGAGTGTTGTCTGCCCCTGTAAAACTGTAATACAAAAGGTGAGCTGTACAACTGGGAGAGAGACTGTGTGTAACTGTAATGCCCATTCTTGGTAGTTAAAACACACAAACATTTGGCCAAGAGATCACAGAATTATAGACTCCTCAGAGTTGGAAGGGACCTCTGAAGGTACCACTGCTGGATTTGGGTGTCACAGCTCTCAGCTGACTTCATCCTGGGCTGTTTTCTCAGTAATATGAATGCCAGTGGAGTACTGCAATGAAGTGCTTTTATTCATTTGAAATTGCCCAATGCCAGCTTTGAAACACGATTAAATGATTATTCTGCTTCTCCGTTGTTTTGTACAGCTACACCCTGAAATGCCAAACAAAGCCAGATTTTGGCAAAGAATCCACGAAGTTTGAGCTAGTAGCGTGTCGGCTCAGTAAGAACAAAGCAGTTGGTATCAGAAGACAGAGGCTCAGAGGGGATGTGTGGGTCTATGAGAGATTGGTGGAAGACGTTTTATCCAGCTGCCAGGTGTGACTGCTGCTCAGAAAGCCACAATGTTGTACTGAGACTTTAATCATCATTTTAGAAAAATCAGTTTGGAAATGTAATTTGTGATCTCCTTCACAGCTGTGTTTGAGAAATCTTGTCAGCTCTTACAGTTTTAACCACCCCCTTTGTGTATATGCCCACTGCACGTTTCCTTTTCTTACAAAAACTCAACTTGTGCTACATGTTCCACAGATGTAACTCAACTGAAATAAAATTCCTTAAACTACCCCCTAGCTCCACTGCCCCATTTTTCATATCTGCTATAAAAAGAAAGTTATTGGTGTTGATATGCTGAGGCTCATTTGTGATACGATTCCAGTTATCAAGTAGATGTGGTACAGAAATGCATTTGCATAATTCTCTTCTTGTCTCTGTGTAAGTAGGATTTATTGAGATCATTAACTAAGTCACAGCTGTGGATCACAGAGTTGAAATATGTGCTCAGTGCCATACCAAATAGAGCCATCTTCAATAAATAGGAAGTTGAGAGGGCCAGGACTTAAACTATGATCCTATGTAAAACACTGCTACAGCTCATTACTAAGCCTCTGTGATGCTTAAAAAGTAAGTGTTCTTTCTGATGCTCCCCTGTTCCCTGGTTGTCATGCTAAGGTAATTCAGCACCTTTAAGTTGTGGTGAATGAAGGAAGCATTTCTGTTAGGTTTTACAAGCAGCTGAGAAGGGATGGTGTGACAGTGCACAGAGAGCAGAGTGTGGCGGCCTCCTGCAGCTGCTGCTGCCCCACACCCCTCCTGCCAGGCTGCCCAAGGTCTCTGCCCTAGATGGGGACACAGCCCCCACTTCCCCCTTTGCAACAAAGCTGAGCACATAACCCAGAGAAGCGCAGACCCCTGGGGAGTCCTTGGCCAGATCACCCTGTCTATGCTCTCAGATGGTTTCCATCGCTTGCTCACTAACTTACTGCCCTTAATGGCCAGGTACACCTAGAGAGGACTCTCCACAGCTCTTCAAATGCTATTAGCTTTGCTGAGTGTAAGAGGCAAGCACTGACCCTATGTTAATACAAGTAACTTCTGAGATCTAGGAAGGAAACACAGGAGTTGGTAGAGGTGTTAGGATATCCCTCACAAAACAGTACGTCTCCAAACTTGATTTTTTCTGTTATGCAATTATACCTTTAGCCTGCGTCAGGAATGTGTGATGAGAATGTGAGCACCACCAACCACACTGATATCCAACTAAGCATCAGTGTCAGAGGGCAGTTCTGTTGGAGATTTCTGCACACAAATGCCCACCTACACCTAGATAGGGACTATGGCTCACAGCACTGTGCTGCAGGTTTTCCTTCATGAAAGGAACTGTGAGTCTGTTCTGATGTGAGCCACATTATTGGCTCTTTCCTGGATGACACTTTCTCATCCGGAAGCTACTTACAGGGGCTACAACGATGCACAGCCCTTAATGCATGAACCAGAAGGATATATTCATCAGAATGGCTGACTAAGGTAGAAGTCTCCATCACTTCTTTCTAATTTTAAGTTACCACTTTGCTGCTCTTCAGGCAGGGGAAGAATTGGGAATGTTTTCAATGAATTTCAAGGGTTAAAAATGTTACTAAATTTTTTCTGTTTCTGGTCCAGAACTCTTCAGATGCAAAATGACATAAATGAGGAACACTTCGCAGGACACCAACCTGACCAACAAGTGCAAGGAAAGTGCGAGCCCAGCCTGGTCAATGGCTTTAACTGACAGGTGTGCATAGAATGTGTGCCCATGGTCCAGGCCTGATTCCACCTGGTTCCGTGACTGATGGGGTGGGGGCCCACAGACCCATGCCTTGAGATGGGCCTGAAAAAACACAGCAGCAATGAGGTTTAAGTCCCTTAAACTTTAATGCAAACAGTGATTGCCACAGAGTGAGATTTTACAGGTGGTACGACCAGCACAAGGGTTGAGCTTGATAATAACTGATTAAATTTTAAAAAAGGATAATAAATTGAGTTTGATAATTGTTGACAAAGTGTACATAACATACAGTTCCAAAAAATTTAAGTTTTGTATCAGTGCTTAAATAGTTCTGTGCACAACCCCTCCGGCTGCAATGTTAGGCCTCTGTCTGGCTTTCAGATGTTGACATTTAAGCCTCCTAAATATCAGAAATCAGCTAACGATGCCAGCACTGCAGCTGAGGGCTGTAACTGGCCCATAGCTGGGCTGCTGTGCAAGCTCTGATTTCTGCTTGCTTGCTCTGCTTTCTGGCATGAACACAAACCTCTCCCAAGAGTTCAGATTCTCCCTGAGACTTGATCCGAGTTGCTCTAAGCCTAGAAAGTGGGAGAGCTGGCTGCA